GGGACGGTAGAAACTATGCGCAAGTCCTATATAAATTACAGCTTAGAAGGACACAGGAGTTTTAAACACTAAAATTAATTTGAGTACGAAACGTATTTTTAGTTCATTTGTATAGCCTGAAATTTAGCTGTTGATACGGCCAGTGAAAATCGTAAATGATATGTGTTATCGCACTTGAGTTTCCAGAATTAGATATTGCAAATGCTTATATTAAGACGAGATGAATCAATGTAGTCACATCGTTAACTAATCTCAGTACTGTAATCATAACTTCTCAATCTTTAACAACAAGCCGGGGGGTCCAATAGCGCAGTCATTAACATGTCGTTGACTGATAACAGATTGTATTTTTCATACATCGTATTTCTCACGATTGCTACAAAACTTTATGGTTTTAAAATCTTTAAATAGAATTAGCCTCTGTTTACCAGCTCGAAATAAACATGCAATGCATTTCAGAACGTATAAGCGACTTGTGTATCATTGAGATATTTCTAACGACATTTATATATGTTATATATGTAAAATGGCAGTAGCCTGGGGATATATGTTAGTGATGAATGTGACCCCTACTGATTGCAACAATTACTTCTTAATTGGAACAGATTTAATAAAAACTATAAATGTTCTGTTATTGATATCGCGTGATAATTGATACCACCATTGATACCAATTGATGTTATTGATACCACGTGATAATTTTAACACGCCATTAGTGGAATATAATACACGATAGTCTGATATAGTATACATATTAGCATAAGTTCATTAATTAATATCGATCGCATTTTTTTGCAACAAAGAAGCAGGATTGTGATTTGAAAATGGGTCGAGCAACTTGACTCTTTATGAATAGACAAATTTTACTACAAACATGGAAAGTCTAATGAAAAATTGTTTTTTTTTTCCATTTAAATGAAAATTACTACCAACAAAATGGAGACTTCTTTATCGATCAGCAAACACAATTTATCTCTGTTAAGAACACCCACGTTATAGCTTAGCTAACCAAACGTTAATTGATATTGCTCGATTAATTGGCCAATAACGTAGTAAAGAATATACAGTATTCGCGCATAATGGCTTCCTTAATTCTTCGATCAATCAGCAATCAATCAATATAATTAGTATCTACTGTTGCAATCGTATGTCAACGCGATTCAATCGTAGAATCGGGTTGTCAGATTAAATGAAAAAAAAAGAGGTTAGCTTGTGTCAAATAATTTTGTAAGCGTGTTTTGGAAACCTCACGAGGAACCCAAACAAAGAGTATGTAAAAATAGATACGGGAAACATAAATATTTGCCACCGCTTGGTAAGCACTCTTTTCATTTAAATACGCAAGAATTTGCTGGGAACGCAAGCCGGATTAAAAGTGAAAAATACAGCTAATCAAATTTAATTCGCATGTTAAAACTATTTTTTTTAAATAAATATTACAATGCGTAATGGCTTTTCCACGTTCTATACGGCCATACACTATAGACAATGTACGCACTGCCGCGTATCAAAGTTCATAATAAGTAACTAAATTTCTGAAAATTTTTTCAAAATAGCTATTTACGAGGGCTCGGTCACGTACTCATATGCATCCGTGTACTCTGGATCGTTTCTTGCACACGAAGTTGTAAACAGAAGAATTTCGATAACGTGACGTAGATTCATCCTTATCAATCGTCATTGACGTTGTAGAATGTCTTCAATCGACAATGTCATTCTAATAGTAAACATCGTACGTTTTAAATGCCGTGACGTGATCTCCATATTGCACTATACCAATGGCACGTCGCACAAACCAACCATATAGTCATCTGATATGATATATATATACACACATGATAGCGAGCATAATCACAATGACAATGGTTCGTAAATAAAATAAATATCCCTAACATTACTGATACACTATATGAATTTTTTTAACTACTTTTCGCTTAAATTCGCAAATAGCAAATGTTGTGAATTAACCAGCAAATTGTTTATATCATAGAATAATAATTTTATCACTTCTCCCGTTTCCGTAAGCACAAGATTATCAAAGAAAAATACGTTGCTGCTTGGATCATAAGGACGTGTAGAGAGAAAAAAATGGAATATCTTTAAACGATACGACGATTTCAATTACGATTAAACAGTGACAACAATTCTGATAAGAATTTATTAATTATTTATGTTTGATAATACCAATAGGCTTGAAACTGTCAGATCAGCTGATATATGCACGTGCTATTCAATTTTAGGTCAAAGGACAAAATTTTTGTTTACGTCTTGAGATAATGAAGAATAAATAGCATGACTGGACAAATAGTTAAACAGTTGTAGAAAGTACATCATTCGTTCTTCGTATGGAATAAAGATTAGGCTATAGTCAGGATCCAGGTGCTGAATAAAGTTAAGAGATACGTTTATACAGGGCAAAACGAAATCATAGATAATCATTGTTTTCGAGAAGTTCGGTCGATACCGATCCAATGCGTTTGGACGGATTCGCATATTCGGTATTCAATAAGATCCTCATTTGAAGTTATATGCTGATGTTTCCTTTGTTCCGTAACGTACTCTTTGTCTCGCTTAGGACTGCACGGAACAAAGTGAGAAGAAAACTGTATAGTTACAGGTATCGACAAACAGATAAGTAAAGCGAAGGACAGGTGCCACGTGATCGTGTCAGGGCACGCATAGTTATTAATAGACAACACGAGGATCGATAATGAATCCCATCTTAGGTCAGACGCATCGATTGATCCCTGTAACGCTTAAAAGATTGCCGACTCGCACAAACTCTTGAAAAAAACATGATAGTCTTATTTGCGGACAGAACGACCTCGGATAACTATGTATTTACTTCGTAGCATGACGACTTTTTCGTTTAGTCATTCAATAGTGTATTCGATAAATATTGTGACTCATACTGAAATATTCTACGTTTAGTTACATCCATGAATATATTAAAATCGTGCTCTTTCGAATTCGTCAATTCTACGCACTGTGGTTCTGTTACGCGTTGCCATAGGGATATGGAAAATAGCGCTAGGGAGTGTTGCGGCACTATCGTCAACTAAATTGAATTTGAATTTACGCCCGTGACAATATTCGAGGTCGCCAACTTAAAAATTCTCAGCCACAACATGAGGTCGAGTGAGCTACGGTGTCGGTACGTAATTTTAAAGGTTAACGAACTATGCGTTGACTTTCTCGCCGGGATGTTTACTCCATGATTCTTTGGGCCACGTTATTTTTCGTCAGTTTCCTATACGTTACGCATATTTGTTCTTGCCGATAGTGTTTTGTACAGATGTTGAGAAGCTTGCTTTTATCTCAATAAATAAAATGACTAATGTTTTTCTGCGACGTATTAGTATGATTTCGCAATACAATTTGGCTAAAGCGTATAAAAATAATAAAAAGAATTCACTTCGCGTATACCGAGCATCAGCAAACAAAATACTTAGACCAGATATATAAATTCGCTAGATTTGTTATCATTTGTGCGATCGGTTACGCAATCGCTACTGCGATTCGCTTCTTGCATTCAGAGAATTGTTAAATTTTTCTATCACCCGGTATAGCCGACATCGCTTATAACGCGTGATCAATCTGTCGTCATCGCTGAATGTGACAGCTGCGAACGTAAACAAGTTTGTTAATCTTGTCACGTAATACAAAAGGTATCAACGTTTCCCCTGTGGGAATCTTTTTAGACAACGACAAATCAGATTTTTCGAAAATACAATCAGGTACAATGTACAAAGACATTCTTGTATCTTCGGTCAGATACAATTTCACCTCTTTCTCTCGCGTGATTTTTTCAAGGGTTTACTTACGTTTGTCGATGATTTATGACGAATAATTTACCATACATTTTTAACAATAATCTCCTACCCTCGGTACGTTCTTTATTTTCACATGACCTATGGCACAATTTATTCCAACTAGGCTGCTCTTTGTCGAATCAATTTTACATGATCTTACAGGTTAACTGTTCTCGTACGTGTATTACGAACACCATGTATATCGTGGCATCAATCTAATGTCGCCATTATAAAAAGAACGTGCAGTCCAAGCACATTAGTTCTCTCGCAAGTGTCGAGCCGTTGAGCACAGGCTTACAGAAAGAATCGTCATCACAATCGAAATTATCGTTTGTGCGAGAACTGTCGAAGCAAGTAAGTCATCGGTATTAAAATTCATACCAATGAAGTGTGACACGTGTTTTTGTGTATCTTTTTTCGAATATATTACAGTATACTCGTGGCATGGTATAATTCACGCCTGTCCCAAAAGTCAATGGGTATTATAGATATGACAATTTCGTATTTGTCCTTCCTTTACAAAGAAAATGGGCCACTTTCACCGAGAATAATAAGAGACTTTATGGACTCGTTAAATCACTTGTCTTTTTTATCAGAGACGACGTATTAGAAAACACGTCATTGCACTGCCGCACGTAAATAAGCATACCATACAATGTCATCTGATAAATAATTTTTCAACTCATTGAGGATAAAAGATTTTTTTTCACTTTTATAAAGTAATTCAAAAATACAGTCTGCACGCCGTTGAAAAAAAAATACACCGTTAAATAATCTGACCCTGAATTATGTATAACCCTGTACTTCGTTTCTACATCTGTGGTCACTAGAAAGTATTCAACCCACGTAGCAATGGCTGCTGGACCGTATTTTTCATGCTACTATTCAGTTATTCTAATTAGATTCATATAAAATCATATATATATATATCGTTCAATGGATATTGACAATCCAAAATTATATATAATATTTCAAGAGATTTTTTACTGTTTGAAAAAGTCTCAGATTCTCTTATACCCTTATCCTTGGAGTATTGACCCCGACCTTGAGTCCATTCCATATATATGTGTGTGTATATATATATATATATATATATATATATATATATATATATATTGTTCAGTGTTCAAGATTGCACAAAGAATGGAATCACAGTTCTTATCGTATATATACAAAAAACATTAGATATAGATTGTCATATAGATTTAATAAAATAAAATACAAATAGCACTCAACTATTAGAGAAAATCTCGCCTTTGTCCGTTACGTCGCACGAAACTGATTCGACTATAGACTCGAGCATTCTGTGTCAGTCCAGCTCTATAACGAATGATTTTTAGAGCACGTCCGCTAAAAAATAATGTCCTGTAAAAAAAAAGTCTCATTTACAATTAGAGTCCTCTCAAGCTGTTTAAATATTTTCGTATACGTGTACTTAATAAACTAACACGTAGTAAAACAGCTGATGTTATCGTGGTCTTCGCCGATGAATCATAAGAGGATGCAGATTTGCTGGTGACCATAGTTGACTCTCTTGTTTACTCCAACAGTTCTTTGCGCAGTTATGAATTCCAAGTAGTCAAGAAAAACGATTCGTCGTGTTTGAATAAAGTAATCGATCTTTCCGAAAATTCAAGCTTTCTGAGCATCATCTGTGTTACAATAGCTCAATAGTCAAGCGGTATGGTCGAATTGTTAGATTCGTAGAAAGGAAATGAAGTTAAAAAAAAAAGCGAACAAAGGAATAACCGGTTTTTGTTCACGTTAACTCATTGTGGACTGCTAAAAGAAGACTTTAGCCTGTTTTACGATTAAACGATAAAAGCGTATTTTATTTCATAATGGCATTACATACGTTTATGTTGCAACATGTGACTACGTAGTCTGTGCAAAAGATACTGCAATTTCCTAGTCATTGGCTTATCTCGAAATCATGAGCGAATCATTGAATTCACGATTAAGATTGTAATAAATCAATGGCCAATAAAACTTTAATATGTCAACGTAATTATTATAACAGAGATGATTATCTAGGCTAAAGATCTATGAACGCCTTGACCCTAATCTCTTTTTAAGTTACGAACAGTCAATACTCTCAGAATTAACCGATCGATATATAATTCGTTTGATTAATGAAACATATATATATATAATCCATAAATCCGTATGCGCTACAGCTATTGAAAATCAACAATGACTTCCCATAAGTCAACTCGATCATCTGACCAAAACTTACAGGTCGTATATTTTTCCTCGTTACGTCGAAGCAGATGTAACAAATAAACTCCCGAGTGTTCCACAATCACATATAGACAGGGAAAGTGAGAAAGTTTTGTAAGTACATCGATTACATACGTATAAGAGATACCACATGAACCGTGTACGTTCTCCTTTCTCAAAATGTTAAACACACCTCGTGTAAACGATAACCTACGCAAAACGAAGTTTCCGTCGTAGTAACTACATTGTACCATATTATGGTTCAGTATACAATATGTCTGCTGTAGATGGTGCACAGCGTATACCTCTGCACCACGTTCGTATCATCAGATCGTCTACTGATTCTGAGTCACGGAGTCTTTCGATTACGCGTGCGCCTAGGAGGAAACGAGGTAAGCCCTCACTCCATGAAACGGTTTGAATTCTCGAGAACGTGAGAGCGTCTAGTGATTGAGTCGGTCGAGCACGCGGATGGTCGCTGATCTGCACGTGATTCGAGCGTGCCGCCGAGTCGCGGCATCGACCGCCTTCTCGTCCCCTACCCTACAGTCACCAGCAGAACTACGACAGCCGCCACGATACATATGGCCAGCTAGCCGGCAAGCCAGCTGGTCGAGAATATCCAGAGAGTAGGAGCGAGAGAGATGCCGACAGATATTACGATGACGCGTAAAGGAGGATTCGGTAGAGACATAGGACGGAACAAAGAGGCCCTGGATTTCGCTCCGGTGGCAACTGACGTGTTTCGCTTCTTGTTTACCGTAAATGATGTTTTTTTCTCTTGGTACTCTTTGGCCTTCTAGATGATTTAGCATTGATATTATAGCTTTATAATTTTTCGAGGAAACTTGCACTCTGTCTTTCACGTGGTATGGTGCCCTTCGAATCACCCTGGAAATATTTATCGTTCGGGAATATTGGCTAGACATTTGGATTCTTGAGCTTAGTTGGCGATTGACGAAAGCTTTTTTTAAATACATTTTAACGGACATAAGTGTGTAATCTACGTGACGAACGTTTTATCAAGGAAGATTATGATTAAATAGTGAAGATTGTGAGCTTTGATAAATGTAGTTACTGAACGGTGATAAGGTGTGAAAATATAAATCCATAATAACAAATCAGGTGTTATTCGTATGCTGTTATGAGATTACTAAGATTATCTTTTTATTTGTCTAATAGTCTAAACGTCTTAGCAGAAATAATTTTTTTTTTCTTTTTACTGGAATTATCAGTCTTGTTGGTGATTTATGAAAAATAAAATTAAAACTTGTTTTTGTAAATTCGTACCTTTTTTTTTATAAATCTTCGTGCTATGTTAATTGGCGAGAAATACATTTGATTTGTCAGAAAATTTATAACGTTATGGTCAAAATTAATATTTGGAAACGTAATTGCTGCCGACTCTAGTCAATGTTCACGGTTAGTTCTGTACCGAATATATTTTAAGGAGTAACACAAACTTTTCCTCTTTCTTCATATTGTTACGATACCTGATTTAATGAAAATCAAAATATTTATATTGAGACAGAAACGATTAAAAGACCGTTTAATATTAATGACTGCCCGTGCGGTTTAATATGCACTGTCTAGCGTTAAGCAAAAAATGCAATATGAAAATTTTACTGTCTGCGTAATCGTAAACAGCACACTAGATTATCATAATGTACTTGATACAAATTTTACATTTTTCGTTAACAGCGTAATTCCGTTTTTGTTTGATATTCGTAATAAATTTGAGAATTACTGTTTTCGGTGTTCAATGAAATTCAAAATTTTTTTTTCCAAAGAAATTTACTACCCTGTTTTTATCATCCGTACGAATACGGTTTAATTTGTAATTATTTTTAAACGAGCGAAGATATTCGCAAGGCGTTCAAATATAGAAGAAAGTAGAATTACAAAAAATAATAATCACTGCTGCTGTTCTTGCTAAATCAACGAACGAATTATACATAGACCGAGTCAGCTGATCTTTTCCGCCAGGCAAATTTTTAACGGCGTTTCAGTGTTATTCTAGTCATTCGTAGTAATAGACGCTTCCCAGACGTCTTTAAAATATTCATCTGTACCTTCGAATTTCCAATGTTAATACTTTGCGAAAATTTTCTCGCGCCACGATCTAAATTACATTGTAAATATTCGGGTGAAATGAATTTGGAAAAATTGCCTCGTGTCGGTATCGATGACTTTAGAAAAGTGTCAATACTTCTTGGCAAAGGGTGTGCAAGCGGGATTACCCATCAATCACAATGACACATCATAGAAATTAACGACTGACGGAACATTTGGAAGAATAATAAAATAATGAATCAAAATGACGTCTAGTGACTTGTTATATTCGTAGCATGACCATCAATAATGATACGTGCTGATGAACGACGCGATCATTAAGTTAAAATCTCGTTTATCGAAATGACCTGAAATGCTTGTTAAGCCAAAAATAGGTCATGTCAACTACCTAATATATACCACTTAAGTGCTATTGTTCGCATAACTTCGTCACTGACGCTGCAAAGTCATATCATTCTTGAAATGACAAAAAAATCTACACAGCGATCAACCATAACCTAAAATTGGATGTCGAACAAAGTAATTCGTCTGAATGTCAACTGATAGTTTTCCCAATGCAAACTCATATTCTTCGTTTATATTGCGAGGAAAACGTAATGGCAGATTATGGCTGTTATGCAACGAACAAGTGAACGGTAGACATTAGAATTAGAACACAGCTGCGTACTTACCATGGGGATACGACTGAAAACAAACGGTGGGTTATCTAATGTTCATCACTGTTTTCGAAATAATGATAACGTTATATCGCCTCGTGTAACATTAATGAATTTATTACGATTTCGTGTCTATCAGAAAAGCTTCGTCTTAATCGAAAACAACACAAAGTAACCCTTACGTTTCTGTATTGTTACAATTTCCTACCTAGCGATGTAACAGTCTTATATATCAGACATGCCATAACCACTGTATCCTCCAGTATGAAATTTTAACATTATCGATACGTAACCATTAACTTATCTTTGCTAGGAAGCGATCGACAAAGTTCTGATATGTAAACGAAAATGATAAAAATGCGTTTACCCCTGATGCCATTAATTTGTAGACCTTTCTAGAACGTTGGGAGGTGAAATATGTAAAATTAAATTTGTTTCCTAGCTTTTTTTTTTTTTTTGTAAACTGTTACGAGATTTATTCAAGCTGTACAAACAGCAGAGAGGTCCGCTAAGAAATGATCTTCAGGGATGTTCCAACTCTTTATAATATGAAAATTTGTTAAATGATCTATTTTCAAGAAACATATTTTTTCCAAATCATATCCGATCAAAATCAATGTAGTACGTTACGTAGATCAACGTAAACAGAAAAACACGTTCATCGATCTGCCACAAAAACATCAATCGATCAATTGTGTGATCGAAGACTTATCGCGATCTATATTAAGAATATCAAAACAAAATTATGAAACTGCAAATCCAAGTGTGTTATTCTCTATCCTATCTACGGTAGTCGCTTTTTACGCGCTAACAAGTGTGTTGTTATTCCCACATATCCCAACGTAAAAATAAAACGCTTGCTTGTGAAAAGTGCACTACCGTGGAAAGGATAGGGAACTGACACATTTGGATTTGTAGTGTTTGCGTTCTCAAGGAGGGGCCACCTTCTGTCAGTGGATCACGATATAGTACGGGATGTGGTGCGTGCTCTGAAACACGATAAAACAGCCGTTGCACGCGTTTTGTGAGTGCTCGACGGTTTTCCCCTCCTTTAAGTTCCCTTCCAGTTCCAAGCGGACACGTATATAAGCACCAGAGTACGCCAGGCTTCAATTAGAATTTCACTCGCAGTGAACCGGTACTGTTAGGTCTACTGTAAACATAGCATTTTCTCCCTTACAAAGGAGTAAGGTGTAATCGAAAAGTTTGGTTTACCTCGTAAATAAGATTAATTGCATAGTTTTGAGTGCGCGTACTATTTAACGAGGATTTATTTTAATCAACTGATTCTAGTGTGTTTCGTATAGTCAATAATGCCTGTCGAAATAGCACCTATCGCGCCACCCGCGCATAAGGCTATGCCTACTTACAATGGGTACGCATCTTTTGTCTGATTATTAATGAGAAAAATATTTGTTTTATAAATTGGTATTAAAAGATTAAAAAATTCTTTGATCTCTTTATGAGAGTACACTTTGTTTATGATGTGAATTCCTTTATCTTTACAGAGAGCATACGATGAATAAGCTGTGTCGTCAATTATCTATCGAGAGTCCTGGACTGACTAGCCGAGATTGCGTCTTCAGTTTCGATGTACCAATTCCAGAGGTCCCGGAACACGGCGCAAGAATCCGCGTAGTGTGTGCAGGGGCCTGCTACCATCCTCGTCGTTCACCAAGTTTCTCCAGTCTCACTTCCGTATCGAGCTCCGGTAGCCTTCCGTCGGAAGTCTCTCTCGAGGGTGACTTCCCAGTGACCCTACCGCATCATGGAGTTCGTGATGCAGCTCTGTTTCCTGGTTACGAAGTGGCAGGAGTTGTCGAGACTCTGGGCGAAGATCTGCCAGGCGATTGTGGTTACGCCGTAGGAGACCGCGTCATCTTATACCCGTACGAAGGAATTCCAAATGCCTACGTCGAGTATCTGGTCGTGCATGATCTCAAATATCTCATAAAGATCCCAGACAGTATGCCGTTAAGCGTGGCTGCCATGCTACCGACTGGTGCACTTCTTGCTATGAACACAGTCTTCGCAGCACACGAGCACGTTCAGGCGTTGCTGGCACAAAGAGGCGACCACAGCGTCTGCAAAATCCTTATTGTGGGAACTGGAGGATTGGCACTTTGGGCTATGAGGATTGCGGCATATCACTTCAGCAATATGAAGGACAGAGTGACCATCACTGTTGCGTCCCTTAAAGATGACGGCCTCATGGTTGCACAGGAGTTTCAACGGTAGGTTCTTTTGCAAAAGCTCATCCACGTAGAAACATTCGCACGATTCGTAATATGTCATTGGTTTACACGAGGAGTCATTAAACTTTATCGTATAGGAATTAAAATATATAAATGTCTAGACCAATCTCAGACAGTATTTGATCTTATTTTACGACAGTATTAAATTAGCTTCATGCATATAATAAAACTTAAAAGGATTCGTGTTATCTGTTTAAAATTAGCAACTCTGTAATCTGTTTCCGAGATAAGCATTTTATTGAGCTAATGACTCGGACGTATAAATTTTGATATTACTATCGAGTTTCATTTTCGGTCATCGCTCAGTTTTTTCTGATTTATTTACCACTAGAACCTATTGTGATTACAGTGTAAACGTGGTGCAGTGGAACGAAGACTTGTATGAGAAACAGCTGATCGAACGCACCATGGATGCGTGTCAAGGTCCAGTCGACGTTGTGATTGACTTCGGTACGACGTCACGCAGTTTACACAGGAGTATGCAGTGCTTGAACAAGGGAGGCGTCGTATTTGTTATACGGGAGGTCGCCGATAGACTTCTACCAAAGTTCAGCAGACGCGCTGAGGAAAGACAACAGAGTATCAAGCCTGTCGAACAAGGGAGTCTTGAGCAGCTCCGAGAATTGGTTGAACTGGTCGCTTCCGGTGAGATTGAACCACCGCCACATACGGTCTATCCAGCGGAAGATGCTCTTGATGTCGTACACAAACTCTGCCATTCCGAGATTCACGGTAGAGCCATTCTTCGCTTTTATCCTACAGACTAAATTAATGTATTCCATTTTTAAGGCCTCAATGGGGTTTTGAACACCGCTCGACGTTGTCCATGCGATGTTGGGCTCGTTGCGACGTCTTAGACGCAAGTCGTATGACTTAAATGACATGTTTCTATCGTTTAATAGTTCCAATTGAATCTGTGAAAATGTAGGCAAAGTCCATAGTCTCGTTATGTCACTTGGGACTTTGCTGAAAAATGGTGATATTTATTTTTCTAGTTTTCACGTCGCTTCGAGTCCGACCTGAAATTATCAACAGGGACAGCGTTTCGAGAGAAACCTTACAAGGTGTCTCCCTTCGATTTTCTTCGTTTTGAGATGTGTTTATCGAAACCCAAGTAACACGTGTCAAAGTTGGACAATTTTTCAAGTTTCACATATTTCCAATCGAGATATTTAGATGAAACCGATTGGAGGATAATGGTCATGACAAATTATGAAAAATGCATTTTGTTCTGTTCTGATAGGCTAAGTTCCTTAAACATGTGTCAGTCAGATTTCGATGGATAATAGCATATCTCAAAACGAACAAAATCAGAGGGAGCCATCTCGCAAAGTTTTCGTATAAGTCACCTCTCGTTGTATCTCTTAGATCAGTATTTTTTATTTGACGTAAGTTAATCCATTGACTATACATGTTATAAAAATGATATCTTTATATCACAGTTGAAATCCTTGTACCTTAAAAGACTGTTCGTTTATTTAATGTTCTTTTTTAATTTTCTTCGACGATAATGTAGCATCTAGATACGCGTCATAATTTTAGTGTAATAACTGTTATTGTAACAGTGAATGTACTATATGGTAATAATATAGCAAATACGTTTTTTATAAAAATTATTCAACTGATTTTCATTGGCAGAAACCTTGTCCTTCATTGTAATTTGAAACCCGGAAGGAAGTAATATTAAACTACATCAGGAAAAGGATACAACATAATTTTCAGAAATGCGGACTTGCGGTACAAGAGTGGTATAATTTATTTCTTTGCAGAAATGCTAGAAGTATCTCATCATATCTGCACATACAATTTGTTTCAATTATATATGTACTAAATACTTGCATACAAATATTAACGATATCTTTATAAAGTTACTGATACTTTATAGTACATATACATCTGTGTTATTATATCCAATATTTGTACAACTGAGGTGGAAACGTTAAAAAGATGAAAACATCTATGGACGAGTAATGGTATTTACAAGTTGGTCATATACATATGTATACTGTTAGTTCAGTGAGAATGATTCTTAAAATATCATTTTCACGTATTCAAATACAATACGCATTGCAGATAAACCATGAACTTCAAGTTATCTTCATTGATAAAAATAACTTCTCCTGGACAAAAATTCGCGTGCAAACACGAAAAAGATAAAAATACTAAGATGCATTTTCCATGCCAACAAAAAAATTGGTATGAAGAGGCAATAATGATACGTATATGTTTCTCAAAAAAAATAAAAACAAAGAACTAAAGGCAATAATCGTTTACGTCAAGTCAAAGTTTATCAATTATTAGCTACAAATGACTTAAATTGACTGTAAACACCAATTGATAAAACTTAGTGTTACCAGTACCATTAAATTATCACAGCTATTCCATATCTGTACAGGAGAAATTAACCTCATATTTACAAACAGCATTTACAAATAAATCAAGTTAATTGTAAACTTTACATATAGATATATGTTTAAATATTTTGTATACGTATAATCCAAAATTTGATTAAATTCATAGAATATATAGCGTACGAGTTACCTGCAATGCTGATAACTCGTGTCGTGAACGATAAGACAAAGCATTTTTGCATTTACCATGAGTGGATGGGAACATAATAGTTATCTATCTTAATAAAGGTCACTGACTCACCAAAGCAGCTGGTCCTAAATAATTATGTGGCACGTATCCAGTCTTACCATAACGATCCTCTACTAACCACCAAGCCTCGTTATTCTTCTGATCATGTGTTTGTAAAACTTTTACAGCCTGCCCTTTACTAACTGAGAGTGTACCTGGCAATAATCCTTGGAAGTCGTACATCGCATAATAAAACTGTAAAGAAACGATGAGACGACAATTATAGCTTGTGCCAAAAACAAACATATGAATACACCTTATGTGAAAATACTTGAAATTGCATTCCTCTACAAACAACAGACACGTGATAAGAACATGCAAATCACGAAACTGATCAGCATACTGTTTTCATACAAATTGTATGTATTCGTTACGAGAATATAATATATAATGATGTTTGCTAATTGGAAAAAAAAAGAAAAAACCCGTTTGTATCGCAATACGATAAAGTTGACATAACATTGCAAACGTTTTAACACTACAAACCTTAGGGTCAATGTTTTGGTAGGATTGAGGCTGACTAGCCTCTTTTACGTTTCCATAATAGTGATTGTCTGCAGATTCTTCCTCGACGATTGAATAATAAGATTGTGGTCTCGAAGTCGGTGTCTGTGAAGCTTCCTTTTCCGGTGAATCCAAAGACATAAGATCAACACAGCTTTCTTGACTTGTGAATGATTCGCTGCTACTTATAGAAGTCCGTTGTAACTCATACAATGATTTTAGGCACTGGCTTGGTAAGAAACCTTGAGTAGATCCATTGTTGACGAACCATCTTGTAGTATCTCCCATAGGATCTTGTTTTTTTATTACTGCTACCAAGGTGCCTTTCACAGCTCCGATGTCTAATGCCGAAGTACTGACTATATCGTTATTCACGATATATAGCCTCTCCGGAGGAAACTTATTCTGGAGCATCATTTTCTGTTTGTTATTCTGCGGACCCCAGTGCACCTGAGTTTCTTCGATTCTGGGATTAGTACCAGCCATGCTAAATCGTGTAATTTGATTCCATAGTAAACTATGATGTACTAGGAAGGATTCAAGAATGTCGTGTGGTTTTACTTGAGTAGCGATCTGAAAATGTTATCTTTGTTACATTTTTTCTACAACATACTCTAGTGATAATTTTATTTGGTGCAAAATTTGGTTAATTATTTATATATAAAAATCACCTCGAAGAGTCCTAAATATCTTTTTGTAATTTTTCCACTCAGGAGCTTGCGTGAATTTGTAAATGCACCAATGCAGGTGACCAGAATTGTCGTTGCAGATTCAATTAGAGATGGTAATTCATCTAACAATTGTTGATTCAATGCTTCAAAGTTCATTTTTGCAATGGACAACTCATCCTGAACCTATGTAAAGAAATTCAAAAGAAATAAAGTAATGATGATCGATTTCGAAATTAAAAAAGTACCTACAATTTTGGCGTCTGGATTCCTTTCACTTCTCGATATTGCCGCATCGTAATCAACTAGTTTATCATATCTTTTTGTGATTAGCATTGATGGTCCCTCTAGAAGTGTGGCGAGAGTATTTACCGGTGTAAGTACTCTTGTCTGCAGACATGTTCTAAGATCTTCCAAGAAAGTCCTCCAAATCACCGAACGAGTGTCTTTTAATCTTCTTACTTCGTCACTCACTGTACCTTGATAATAACTGAGTATACTATCAGCCAATAATTTTCCAAAAAGTGCTTCTTCGCTGACGAACGTAACAGACTGTTCAGCATCTTTTCCAAGTTGGTATAGACACTTTTCTATGGATCTAAATTTTCGCTCGAGTTCATTAAATTCAGGATCGCTTGTCAGATTAGTCAATCCTAGGGAAGCTGATAATTTAGCACTGAGTCTGGTCGACATCTTGGCCACGGAGTGCATGTTCAGTTTCGCCATTTTCCTCATTAAAGTTGTTTCAGAATCGAAATATTTAGCTATTAAATCTTTTCGGCGTTTATATTCATTTATGTAGCTTGCTACATCTGTCATAGCCTTCCATGCTTCTTCTATCTCCGGTTTATCTGGATGGCCATCTTCGGTACACTACAAGAGTTCGTTGTTATCAGAATTAGATATATTAATAGAACTTAAAATAATAGAAAAGTACATGTACATACCTTAATTAACTCGTACAACATAAGAGGATACTTTAGAATTCTTTGTACTGGTTTAATTAAAATTGAACTCATATCAAAACATGCTATCTGATGTCGCAAAGTTTCGATTCCCTTCTCAAATATGGCCATAGCTTCTCTATTTTCCTCATACTAAAAAAAATTGTTTTTTATTACATCGGTATAAAATAATCAACAATATTTTAAGTACAAGACAGTACCTTTTTCAATAATGTCAATGCCGCTTCATGATTACTACAATATTTAACATAAACATGTTGCATTTTATCAGACATTTTCAAGAAGCAGGGACCTATTGTCTGGCATTCTTCGTCACAACCTTTCATCGCTCGTAAGATTTTATCCAATAATTCCTCAGCGACTTGAGTGACCTCAGCAATATTTCCAAATAATACTGTTACATCAATACCACGCGATTCGAGAAAATTATGATCATATAAGTGAAAAGTTTCGTATGTTATCTTCAAGTCTCGTACGTATTCCTTCTCTGTCAGTACTAGTTCGGATATAACATTTTGTCTATGATCGAATTTTTTCTGCTTCAGAGCAGCACTTGCAGCATCTGCACTATCGCTCTCGTTTGACGATTCTTCAGGTCTATTTTTATCAGGAGGAGATGGTTTTTGTAATGGTGTCCGTCCAGGTGCAGGTGCTGGTGGTGCTGGTCGATGTGGCTCAGAAAGTCTTTTTGATTTCTGATCTTCAACTTCAGTCGAATTTTTTCTTTCTCCTCTTACCATAACATAATCGAACAGGTGCTCATCCGGATCAGTATTTTGCTCCATAACAGGATTAAGATATCCTCTAGGACACAAGCCAACTTCGCCATCTTTATCCTTTACACTTACCCAGTCATCATTGGCCATTTCAACCACAGTAACGATATCACCCTCTGTCACACTTAAATCGCCATTCATTTGAGCATTGAAAGTAAATTCTACCTGACATGGCGTTTCTGGCTCTAGTGCATCATATTTGTTTACTGTCACTGGCGCTTCTTCAGTTAGTGACGGTTGGCTGTTACTGACTTCTATACAATTGACAATAACATTTACATACGATATTGGGAAGATTCCCTTGGCATTGTCTATCGAGCCTTCTGCCCATTCTGTATCTATATGCTTTATTAGATGTACCACTTCTCCTGCTGCAAAACTTAGTTCATTTGGAAATTGGGCATTAAATGGAAATAATGTGATTGCATATGGTTTAACACCAAGAGGATTTAAATTGTTATCATCTAAAACATCCTGAGATGATTCATCCAATTGTTTTGATTCAGGAAATAAATCATAGTAATTAGGTGCGGGCTCTTCTTCATAATGTTGAACAGTAGAAAATTCACTGAAGTCTTTGTAAATTCGATCATTGGTTGATAACGATTGCATTGCGCTATTGTCCATTGTAGATAATGTATCAGCCTGATTCACAACTGATTCTTCAATGTACGCTATAAAACCTTCTGGAAACGTACCTTGGCTACCATCTTCAGTTATTCCACGGCACCACCCATCATCAAAAATTTCAGTAACAGTCACAATTTCTCCTTCCTTCAAATCCAATTCTTCATCAAGTTGTGCTTGCAACGATGTTTTTACTTTTGCTTTCTTGCATATATTTTTCTTTGTTGTCTCTGCTTTCTATGAAGTAAAAGAAAAATGGTTTTTAATGTGGTATGAATTGCAATAACGATATGAATTCTCAGTTTTCATAAAGGTATAGATACAAATATTTAACAATATTAAATGTAAAATTACCTTCAGCAAAGTAGAGTCAAGCTTCCACACATGAGAAGTTGGAAAAATTCCTTTTCTTGAGTCTATATATCCCAAGTACCAATTTGTTTCGACTTCTTGTATACCCACAATAAGTTCACCTTGAAATAGAAACAAAAAACTCATCTAAATTGAGAAATAACATCTTCCTGATATTAAATGATACATTAAAAATTAACGTTATTCGTAGAACATACATTATGTATAGAATTTGATCATAAATACATGTCTGTATATCTGGCATATGATAAGATTCATAAAGATAAAAAATTACCATTAACATGGTGGGCAAAAAAAAGAACTTTTCTGCATTTTCATACTCAATAAATAACATATTTATTAAGTTACCTTCTCCAAATGATAAATCTCCTTCTTGTTCTCCAGAGAAAGCTGCAATAGAAATGAACAAGCTTTCGGTGTCCTGTATTTGTGGAACTTGAACCTTATGCAGATAATTAAGTGGAAATTTTCCTGTCCTGCTGTGAGATTGGCCGTAACTCCAATGCTTATCTATAACCGTGTTTATCTGCGCATAATGTATGGAATGATCATTAGGATTAAATATCGTTCGTCATAGAGTTACGTCAATATGGAGCCATGTCAAATTACCAAAAAGTAATCTCCTTTAAGGAGACTCAATTCACCATCGACAGTTGTCAGAAAGTCATGTAAGACTCTTGTAAGAGTTCCTGGCTCCATATTTCTAGATATTTTCAGCACTTCTTCACTGAGATTCTGCAAAATTCTTCTTCGGAGAACTACGACGGTGACAACTCATCTATTTGACAAGTCTTATCGCGGCTTAAATCTTCTATTATAATTCATGTACTGTTCAATATTAGTTATTATTTCAAATTTTTTACTATTCATTACGATTTCTACGTAACTGTTGCTGTGATGTTTTATTCTTATGTAGGCGCCAGCGCACTTCACAAGCATTTTAATGAATAAACAAGATTTCATCACTTCCAGAAATTCATGATCCTCTTCTTCGCTTCAAGCTTTACTAAGGCCGCTATCTTTAGTAGTTTATTATTATGAAATGGTTTATAGTATCCAGAATAGCGGAACTTCATTTTAATATTTGCTCCTCATGCGCTAAGAGCTTTAAACGATTTAAATTAATTACCATTTATTACCATTAATTACGGGAACATGAATTATTCGGTTACCTGCGCCATGTTCCGACAAACATTTGGTTGCAACAATGGCGACCTGTTCAGACCTATAGGAAAAGTACTTTTATAACACTAGATATTATTCGTCAATCGTTTAGTACTTTTGCTAAACCAATAGATAGACTCCTTTTATTATGTAATTCAAGCTCCTATTGGAGATATATCAGCTGTACGTAAATGTAACCGAGCATTCAACAGTTAGTAGAGGTAGAGATCTAATTGCATGTATATACAACGTGCTGTAAAGTATGCATGACAGGATAAACAATAGCAATTTTAAAGATTAAAAATTGTTTGAAATCCACACTATATTTGAGTAGTAGTTGAATAAGTGAATAAATAAATAGTGAAATGATTGGAATGAGGATGAATGCGTTTAACGACGCAGGACTTGGAGAACCAGAACAAGATGCTAATTCAGCTCTTATAGAGCTCGATAAAGGTTTGTTTTGAAGTAGCCGGTTTTCTCAATCTAAAGTTTTAATAGATGTTTAATATTTCTTTATATTTCTTCAGGACTCCGTTCTGTTAAGACTGGTGAACAATGTGAAGCCATTGTACGTTTTCCTCGCCTGTTTGAAAAATACCCCTTTCCTATTTTAATTAATTCGTCATTGCTCAAGTTGGCTGATGTCTTTCGCATAGGTAGCAATTTTTTGAGAGTATGGGTTCTTCGAGTATGTCAACAAAGTGAAAAACACTTAGATAAAATATTAAATGTGGATGAATTTGTAAGACGTATTTATAGTGTAATTCATTCTAATGATCCAGTTGCCAGAGCTCTTACTTTACGTACTTTGGGCAGTGTAGCTGGTATCATACCAGAACGGCAGCAGGTATAAATATGTTGCTTTTATTATTGTTAAAAAACACTAACTACAACCATTAATTTTACTTATGATAATTTAAAATAGGTTCATCACAGTATAAGAAGATCTTTAGATTCACATGATTCAGTTGAAGTGGAAGCTGCAATTTATGCAGCACAGATGTTTGCTGCACAATCAAAATTATTTGCTGTTTCTATGTGCAGTAAAATTTCAGACATGATCAGGGGTCAAGCTACCCCATCGTCTATGAAGCTTCAGCTTATACCAATCTTACAATACATGCATCATGATACTTCGACTGCTTCCATGGTATGTACATTCTTTATCAATCTTGTATATATTAGAAGAAAAGATGATATACCTTATCATTTTACATAGGTGAATGAATTATGCATGGAATTACTTGGGAGTTATCCAGCTGTTGAATTTGTAAGAGTGACATTGAGTGCACTTAGCACACTTGCATCTGCAACAGTAATAGATGTTTCTGGACAAGTTACATTATTACTTCAGTATTTACATAATGATCCACGATTATCGGTCAAACGTCATGCATTACATCTTTTGCATAGTCTTGCCAGAAGAGGTGCTCATCTGTGGCCACAGGGTGCACTCACCAATTTGATTGGTATATAATCTAACAATATCTTTTTACTTGTATACATACATAGAAAGGAAATCTTTACAAAACTAAAACTTTGTGTTTTGCCATCTTCTAGATAGTACAACAATACTTTTACAAGATGGAACCGAAAATACGGATCTCCTTATCCGTACTCTAGACGTTATAGAGGTTCTAACATTATTTACTATATTTCATTCACAAAATTTAATAATTCTATTACAAAACTTATTAGTACTATCAATTATTTTTCTCTACATAGGTATTGAGTCAAAGCGCAGTAACCTGTGATGCAAACATGGAAGAAGGAAGTCCACTTTTGTCTCTCTGCGTTAATGCATGCTATTCACCAGATCCTTTTGTAGCTGTAAAAGCAGTGACAATTCTTGCAAGGATTGCTTGTTACTGGTATGCTATTTTTTAATTATACTCTAAAAATTAAATATTCGAGTGCTAACCATATAATCATTTTATTCAGCTACGAAGAGGGATTACCAGCGTTTGGAGCCCAGGATGTGGTCTCTTGTCTGGAGTCCTTAATTGTACTTTTAGCGTTAGATGAAAAACACTTGTATCAATTAAAAGGTTGTTTACGATCCACTGTTAAACTTTGCCAAGCTCAACCAAGTCATTGCACTATATTCGTTGATGCTATTGGTGCAACATTAATTAACACTAGCCCTGAAGGTGGTCAAAGCGATGGGCAGATGGTGGCTCTTTGCGAAGCTCTAGGGGCTATAGGAAGCTTGGGAGACAATGCTCTTTTACCTCTTTTACCAGATATTCTAATAAAGCTCAAACAAACGGTACACGTGCACACAAAGGTTGGAAGCACTTTGTAGTATTTTTTTAAAACTCTAACAAAATACTACAAAATTATATTTTTAGGTAATGCTTTGTACTTTACTATTTCAAATAGTCGCAGGGGGTTACGAATGGAATGCTGAATGTCTTGAAGCAATAAAAAAGGTCGTTAAAAGTGTGGATGGTTGGGCCAAATATCGAATTGCACGTAGTGCAGCAAGATACGGCCACCATAGAATTGCAACACGCATATTTTATGGATTAAAAGAAGCCGTAGCATCGGAACAATTGCATTTTTGGCTTTCAGGATTACAGTTAGTTACAAGTGCAGAAAGTCATCTTATGTCAGTATCTTTAAAAATAAAACCCATGTTTTTTTGCAGTTGTGTCTCAAGAGAGTCTTCGTTTAATTATTGGATAAACATTTATAAATTGTAGTATGTTTCAGGGAGGAAACGGAGGATAATGAAAATGGTAGAAAATCTGGTATTGTGGAGAAATTAAATGGTGCGATATCACGTTACGCTAGTGCTTGCGCTTCAATGAAAGCAGCCAGTACACCATTACGCAGTTTGCAATTTGCCAGCGAATACTCGATACTCCGCTGTGAATTTTTGCAAGCATTGGTCCAGCTGTTACATTCTTGCAGGTTAATGCCATATATAAAAATTAATGAACTTAACGAATTTTTTAATTATATTTTTTGTTTACAGATCACTTTGTACTGCACCACCACCGGCAATTGCAGTAGCCGTAGTACTTGCTACTAAAGATGATTTGCAACGATACGGAAGAGTTACTCATCAGGTAATAAATTAAGGCAATTCTCAATCTATTGAATTTATAATCCATTTCATGTTGATAGTTAAGAAAGTCAGCACAGGATTTACGATCGTGTGCAGAGAATTATCAAAAACTTTATCAATCAGCTTTTGATGCTGATCCCGGATCCCTGGCGAATATTCGAGCGTATCCTTTGAACTTTAGTAGTTTTCGAATAATTCCTCATCATTGACACCATTAACGATACCATAAAAGTAAAATCATTCATACATGATCCTTAACATTGTAATTTAGGCTTCAGGAAATGTGTAGATTGATGGCCAACAGTGTTGAGCGAGTCTGTGGAGGAGTAGGTGTTTCCAGATATCGACAGAATGAAGGGGACTTCAATTTTGGAGATTCCGTAGAAATGCGGCAACTTGCACGTTGTTGTTCAGAAGTTCGTCGTCTTGCACCGCCCTTGGAAACCGAAGGTGGTGCTATAAGCCATCTTCGTGTCGGTTGTTTGATCTCTCAAGTGATGTTACTAGCTGGTGGAAAAATGCGTCTACCAATACCTCGATATTTCTTCCAAGCGTTGCAAGCTACTAGTGTGAAATTATCAGTCTCTCCACAACCTCGAGTACTCGGTGAACCTGTATCAGTTCCTCAAGGTAGTCAACTGGCTCTCAAAGTGGAAGGGGTCTTGAGACATGGTCGTAGAGCATCTTTGTTTCGTTCAGTAGCTGCTGTTTGTATCTCCATATCTACAGTACCTCCTTCAAAGATCAACTCTGATCAAAAGGTGAGAATCCGTCTTATTATGTTTCGAATCCATAGACATTACATGCTTACTTCCAGGACACAAACATGAACGAATTGCAGCAAACAGTAACCCCTCATCGCGATTTCTTTGCTTGCGAGTTTTTACTTTCTTTGGGAAGTCCAGCTACTGGTCCAAGTTGTAACAGTAACATCAACAGTGGCGGCCAGTATCAAGTCACTGCAAGTGCCAGTATACTTGACAAGGATGGAAATGTGTGGAAATGTGGTCCTCGTTCTACGTTACAAGTCAAAGTGCACGAGGAACCTACCAAACGAAAACTGCCTTGATCTGTAGAGTACTTCTAGAAGGTAATACTTTTCTATACACTAATCTTATACAGTTTTTAAATTGTATTTAAGCAAATGATAATCAAGATTTTTATATAAAAATACTCGAACGTATCAATTATAGGTAAAATGATGGATGCTATAGGAAAGTAATTCAACATTGATATTTCATACAAGATTTTAATACCCATCTTAAAGAACACCCAACGATATTAAAATATAGAAAAGGTATATAACGAACATACAAAATTTAACCAATAGCATTCTATAGTTTATACAGTACAATTGGATATGTCAGGAGTTTTCACTTAACAAATTTGTTCTTTAAATTAAGTCATATATTTATACTTGTACTCAATTGAGCAATAGTGCAATCAGGGTAATATAATTTCTTTATCCCTGAAGAAGTCTCCTTTAGCACCTCCAGTTTTTGAAACCAATTCTATGCCAGTTATTTGCATGGAATGCGCAGAAACAGATTTGCACATATCATATATTGTAAGAGCTGCAACGCTCACAGCTGTTAAAGCTTCCATCTCCACACCGGTTTTTCCAGTGCATCTAACTTCCGCTGTGATTTCAATTCTATGCATTTCCCAATTAAGTATTAAACGAACGTCTACATAGTTTATCATTAAGGGATGACACAGCGGTATCAATTCCGAAGTACGTTTAGCCCCCATAATCCCAGCCAGCTGTGCAACTGATAGTACATCACCCTTCTTCATATTATTTTCATTAATAAGCTTACTGATATCGTGTCCCACTTGTACAAATCCCCTTGCTTTTGCTATACGTTCAGTTGTACTCTTCCTTCCAACATCCACCATACATGCTTTCCCACTTCTTTCATCCACATGCGTCAACGATGAATACAGTCTTGCGGCTGCACTCCGCTGAGAAATCCAATGTATGTGTTCCATGTGTGCTATGCATATATTATTATGTGACGTATATTCTTTCGAATATAGTTGTCGTATTTTCGCACTGTCTGTAACCACATAACAGGTATGATAGAAAAGTGTTCCCAGTTCACTGATAAATCGAGTCTTAAAATTCGCAAAGTACGACAAGCACTGTGATTTAGCGATAACGTCTTGTTCTGGATTATAGAAACGAAACTTTTATCCTATAATTTCATGATACGTGCGTTACACTTCTTACGGAATTATTTAACCACCAATCAGAATCATTGGCCTGTTTTCCATCTGGGACAGATTGAACATTCCTGAAACATACGCGGTGCAAACGTTATCGCTAGTTATCCGTTGCAAGTTTTCCTCGGGATTGTCAAATAAATTAAAAAATATATATACGTATTCGAATTATACTTCTTCTCCGTTATAGAAAATGCTTTTATATTTATAATACCTGCGTGTTGCTTCTTTTTACGAAGTACCGCTCCACTTATTAGATTTCGCAAGTCTTGTTCAGTTGCTCCACTTCTCAGTGCATCTTTCAAGGACACTTCGCCCTTACCCTCAAATAAGCACACTTTCAGATTTCCATCAGCCGTTATTCTTAAACGGTTACATGAATTACAGAAATGCTCACTCATTGAGGTAATAAAACCTACTTGGCCTTTGAATCCAGGTACTTTGTATGCCTGCTCATCAGAAGACAAATGAGACAATTGAAAATCGTTCTGATAATATCATTAGAATAAAGATAAGCGAATTGAAGAATGTATTACATCTGAGATGTCATTAATAAAATTCTATGCTAACAATTATTTAAACAAAATACCTTAGATGTATTATTCGGCTCATTCTCAATGGCATGAAATTCAGGAAACTTCGTTCGAATGATTTGCTTCATATTGTTAAAGGAAACCATCTTGTTTTCTTTCCATTCATTACCAGAAAATGGCATATATTCTATAAACCGTACATCAATGGGTTTATCTTTTGTTAAACCTACAAAGTCCATTAATTCATCGTCATTGAATCCGCGCATTACCACACAATTTATCTAAAAAAAAAAAAAACATTAAAAATAACAGCCTTTCATCTGAACCCAGCACACATGTCTTGTAAAAGTTATATTTCAACATAATAAATTCTAAGTTTTATAGCAGGTATGTAATAGTTACGTAAATGTGACAAACGTGCTTGCTGGGAAGGTAATAGAATATAAATAAATATCTAACTTTAACCGGATCATATCCAAGTTGTACAGCTAAATCGATAGCAGCTATAACTCTTGGCCAACCTTTCCTTCTTGTAAATAGCTCAAAACGATCTTGCTTGAGAGTATCTAAAGAAATATTTAAACCGTCTAATCCAGCTCTCTGAAGAGCTGGTAACATACGGGTAAGCGTTAAACCATTGGTAGTCATTGTTACTTTCTGTAAACCATTCAGTTGCTTTAACCGTGCTGAAATGGTTTGCTATGTAATTATTGGTTTATGACCTATTGTACCATTCGAAAAGCAAATAAAAGTAATATGGGCTGACCAACTATATCAATGATGTCTTTTCTGACAGTCGGTTCTCCACCAGTTAAACGTATTTTAGTAACTCCTTCTTTGACAAAGACGTCAGCCACGCGAATTATCTCATCAGTAGTTAAAATACCTTCTTTCTTAGTCAGCTTTACACCTTCCGCTGGCATGCAATACATACCTGCAGAAAATAGTGCGTTTATTTCTTATCCTTTGAAAAACAATAATAATGGTACTCTGATTTATAAACTCACATCGTAAATTACATCTCTCTGTGACGGAGATTCTAAGGTAGGTATGAACGCGACCAAATGTGTCCGTGAGTATATTTTCATTAATACCATTTTTTATTCTCTTTCTAAATTGTTGTATCTATAAAAAACATTTAATTCGTTGTCTTTTTTAAAAATATCATTGCAGAGTATCATACTCTTACACATTTATATTTTCTTACTCTTGAACTTGATTTTGGAGATATAGAAGCCTCGGTCGTCAATGCTTTGGCATTCAAGATGCTCTTTACCCGGAAGATTTTACCCAACATCTGTCGAATATACGGTTTTCGAAATGGACAGTATAATCTTGCTTAGAGCGAAATATTGAAGCAATAAGATTCGTATTGAAGTAGAGAGCATCATCCAGCGAAAAACAAGGTTATTATGTAACTTGATTGGTAATAATTACGCTTTGCCTTGATAATTTTTCCTTTTATATATTGTAATTTCGTGCATGACTCCCTTGACGGTTCTAGAAAAATCATCGATCATTACATTTAATGCTAGCTGTCATTCTTAGATGATTTATTGCTTCTTTAAATGAATTACCCCCTGCTTAGTTTATGATTGTGTGGCTCATCCGCTTCTCATCTGGAATTATAAATATTTCTTACGAAATTGATACGATAGATACAATTTTTTAATTCGAATTTTTGTCTATCAATTTCCGAATTGAATTCTAGTACAGCGGAAGCGTGCGCTACCAATGCGGTCATATCCGGTATTGCTATAAACTGTTTGCACGCGCAAAGCGTTGCATCACTGATAATCAGATTACATTCTGAACCATTTCTTTCCCATAATAAGATAAAGGGTTGATAAAAATTAATTGCGCTAGTTTTTTTTGAAATCATTTAAATAAATCAAAATTAAATGGAGAATAATTTTACTTGTCAAAACATGTTTTGTTCAGATTGACAACCTTTGTGGTTCTAGAAATAATTGAATTCTTGACAAGCATCCGATAATTTGATATCATTTATAAGTATATGAAATATTACCTTAAGCCTATGTCCGTCCGTATTCAGCTACCGCTGTAGCTCAACAACACACTATGGACTCACGGGATTGACTAAGATTGACTAAGATTTTGAAACGTTGCACCAAGGAGTAATATTACAGAAGAGATGAAAGTTTATATGCTGAAAGTGGTCGATCCTTGGGACATAATTAGTAGTATTAGATGTCACCACTCGTAGCGTATGTGTTTCACGACTCACGAATAATGATTGCCTGGAACCCGCAAAAAAGAAGTAAGAAATTAGCTTTACAGAAGAAACTGCCATTCAAAATTGAACCTGAAAAGAGATATTCTAGACGGTACTTGATGTTATAGGATCACGAGTATTATGAGCAAAAAGTACACATGTGAAAAATTGCAAAATAACATTTTTTTAAAAATATCACTAATGTTATTTTCCGCGAGCCGGTCTCCTATACTGGTCTCTTGGATGCTCCTACGATATCCATTTCTGTCCTTTTTTCATATTTCTTTCTTTCTTACTTCTATACTTCTTTACCTTTACCTTTCCACTTCCATATTTCTTTGCTTTCTTATTTTTTAATTTATTCTTTACTTTTCATTTTTGTTTCTTTCTTTATTTCTTCTTTTGCTCTCTTTCCTCTCACTCGCTATTGTGATTGTCTTACTTTTCCTATTTTTTTGGTCAGGCTCAACATATTCATTTGAATTATCATAATTAGAGTAATATAGGTGTTTTTGAGCACTTTTTAAATTAAAGTCACCTTCAGTGGGGGACACTTCGCGTTTAACTTACTGTGTCTTTTTTGTCGTTCAACCTGATTTCGTTTAGTTCATGAGGTTTTTCTCGCCGAGCTCTGAGCACGGAAGCTTAAGGTTTTCTTTCCCTCAATTCCTGAAATATGATATTTGTTGGCTGTTTGAGGGCTTCTAGCTCCCTTGTGAAAAGATAGGGCCTCACGAAAATTGGCAGGGAGAAGCCCATTTCACAACATCTTTCCCAATCTTCTTCATTCCCTTTCAACGATTGAAGCACCTTTCTTCTGATGTTTTCACTTCTTCGTACTTCTTCTTTCCACGTACTTTCTAAATTCACTCTCTCATTATACTTCTCTTACACTTAAAAGAATTAAGTAATTCATATGTCGAAGAGATATAAGAAAATTTCCTTCTTCCCGCGAATTATTCACCCAATCATGGATCACAATGTTTGGAACTCTAACGCTACGAATGGCGGCAATTAACACGACTAATCATGGACTAAGGAATCTATATTTGAGGTGATTTTCAGAACAACATGAACAAACCTGAAAAAGCTGTAACTTGGCTCTCGAGATTTGTTCGATATGAATTAGTTTAGAATATTAATAGAAGTGTAAAATGTCATTATTTCCTGCGTATTCGGATATTAGTGTGACCGGTTCGACTGCGCGTGAAGAAATCGATGTAAAAGATGGTAAATTAAAGTTTTTTTGTAAAGCTTCAGATTTGTAGCCTTCAAATCTTTGTATAAACAAACTTCACATATGTTTGTTTACTACTTTTTATAAGTGAAAGCATTAGCGTAATTATTTTTTTCTTGTAGCTTATACTGTCTATATATTATTGTGTGACTTGCTGATTTATGCAATAGTAATTCTTTTATCCTTAGAAAAAAGAGACTGGCTACAGAATTCCAGTTTCCCAGCTGCAGTAATATCAAGAAATACATTACTTGATATATCTGATTCTTCAGAAGATGATTCTATTGTTATATTATCTTCACCTGAGAGACCTACAAAGCCACCCAGTACTATTCTCATTAATTCAGATTCAAGTTCTGAAGAACTTTACCAAAAGTCAAAGAGAATTAAAAAACATAAAAAAGATAAGAAAAGACACAAATCTGTAAAATCAAAGCATCAAATAAAATATGATCGTGAGGTAGAAAATGTATATTACGAAGATAAATTCAGGGATAAAGGAAATTCTAAAGTGGATACTCTTTGTTCACGAGTTAGACCTATCTATACTCACATGAAGAATGCAGGCCTTGGTTTTGTTCCTTTTAAACAAAATAAATCATCAACCTTTCAGAGATATTGTGTCACTAATATTGACTCCATACAGAAATCCTTAAAAAAAGATACCATAATTAAAAGACATTCTGAAAAAGATAGCATCAACCAGAATGATACCGAAATATTGAATTGGTGTGTAAATATTGAGGAAGAACAACAATCAAGCATTCGAGAATTTAATAAAAAATTAACAGATAATCCTAATGACATACAGCTGTGGCTTCAATATGTGTATTTTCAGGTAACACGTTTTATTTAAAGCATGTCTTTATATTAAAAGTCATATTTTCATAACTATAATCTTTACATTCTTGCAGGATGTCATTGCAAGATTTCAAAAGAATCAACTTGCAAAAGATATAAGAGTAGCAACTTGTCAGAAAAAGGAATCAATTATAAACAAAGCTTTGGAAAAGAATCCAAATTCTCATGAACTTCTAAAGATCAAATTAAATCTGATGAGTGAATTACTTCCCGCCGATCAACTCTCAAATGAAATGGAGACTCTGGTAAATAAAGATACAGGGAATATTACACTATGGCAAGCATTTATTATGACTACACAAGGGTCTGTGGCTATGTGCACAGTACCAAAAGTTTTGAGTTTATATTCAAAATGTCTATGTACCCTGCGACAAAGGTCAAGAACAAATCCTCATATATACGATAAACGAATATTAGGTAATTCAAGAGTTCAGTATTATGATCATAAATTAAAATAATAATAATTTCGCTAACAAACATAACATTTTAGAGATGTTGTACCGTTGCCTAATATTTTTAAGGCATGCAGGACTTTGGGAACAAATGTGGGAGACTTTAAGATTGAACCTTTGCCTGAATCTCAGTCTAAATAAAGACAGTTTAAAACTGCAAAGTTCCATCGACGAGAAAAAATTAAGTAAGTGAACTTACTGGAATCTTGTATATTTCTCTGCTTCTTATTTTTCCTATTACTCATGAAAAACTTTTTTCTAGTTGGCATGGAAGAAGTGGTATTAACGTCCAGATTACCATTAAATCAGTTATGGCTGCGAGTTGAGTCTCTAAGAGAACGATGTCACTGGCTCAGTGTGAGTAGCGATGAATTAGAATTAGTTGGTGATTCTCGTCGATTTGTTCTCCCAGAAGATGTGGCAGATTTTGTTCATCCAATGGTTTCGATGCAATCAAATTTCCGGTTGGCAATTTATTCTCTTATGTCATTAAAAGTTCCTCTTCTACCTACTCGAGATTCGATATTACAGGTATGTTTACTTATACCTTTGCTGTATTCTTGTCTGACAATTAGTGTAGCACAGTCAAATTTACAGGACTTGGCGATTAAAGACTTTGATTGGAGTGGTGAATCTTTGGAGATGCTATTGCCATTAGCATATCCTTCAATAGGAGTCATGGCTGCTCATACACAACGAAAGGCTCTCTTGGGCGGCATACTTGAGGGAAGATTAACATCCGGTCCCCAATATTTACGATTTCATCCAGCTCAAGAACCATACTTAGATTTTATACGAGACGCATTTAAAGTAATCGCTGAAAATCTACAAACGTCGCAGCGTACAAGTATTTATGTGTGGTGGTTACGGTTTGAACGGCTTCTTGTATTTTTCAGTAAAACTGATCCTCTCAAGAATGACAGCAGGTATAAGTTATTAAATTTTGAGTAACCTGTTAGTCATTTATAGGATAACACTCATGAATTTTTTAATTTTATTTTAGGAGGAAGAAATTAAAAACTAGTTTAAAAGAGTTTCTGAAAAAGGATGAGAACAGAAATAATCTACATTTCTACAGAGAATATGCATTGATTGAACGAGAAATGGAACGCTTTGATAACTGTGTCAATATTCTTGAAACTACTATTCAGTCTCAGGGACAGAATTTGGAATCAATATCAAATGATGAAGAAAAAACAGCTCTATTGAGCGTGTACAGAACACTACTTGAAACTCTGTTGGATGTTGATACATATAAAGAGTGTCATAATGACCGAATACTGAAAATCTATAGTCATATTGTATCAGGATCAAGTGAACCTCGATTGACTTTGGTTGAACAATATCTTCAAAACTCAGTGCAACAATTTTTGGAAAATCCAGTAACAACAGAAGTGGATGAGACATATTTTTTACCCAGTTTTGAATGTGATATTATCACATGTTATGTTTACTTTTTGTATGTTACTAAGCGGAGTATTAATGAAATTATCCAAGTTTTTGATGAATGTCTGGAGCATTGCCAGGACAGTAGATTTTTGCGGGTATGCATACTATCTGCTAGTAAAATTTATGCGTTATAACTATTATTCAGGAGTATTGAAACAACTGGAGTTGGCCCATCTATTTGATTTTTACTATAAAATCACCCACAGATAGTGCAATACTTCTGAATAACCTGTATACGAGCTTTTGAGTTAAGACATAAATAAATAACGATTTAAATGATTATATGATTTTGCAGGAGTGCCTGTATGAAAGTAAAATATCGTTCTTACAACTATATATTGAGCAAAGACACAATGTCCAACATATATTAAAGGAGACTGTATACGAAGCCTTAAAATTATATCCAGACAATTTTTATATGTTATCAGTATTTTCTGGAATTGAGGTAATTATGAAACGTAACTTAAAATTGAAAATTGTATACAATATTTATATATGAAATATAATATTGTGTCTTGTAGATTGAGTTACCATGTTGGAAAATTATTATCCGAAGTGAAAATATTCGTCCATGGCCAGCGATTTCTATGTGCTTGACTGCACGTGCTCGTATCATCTATTTACAAAAACATGGATTATTTGATGCTGCGAGAGCAGCTCTGAATAAATTGTTATCCTTCCATCGGAAACTGGCAAGGTAATATATGTTTCATGTGAATGTTAATTCAGTGAAAAAATAATGCAGAAAGTCATATAAGAATATATCTATTTCTAGGGTGGCTGAAACTCGATGCTGTCCATTAATTTGGCGGTTATATATGTTATTGTTACGAGAGCAAGATCTATGTGAAAAACGAGGTGAAGAGGTGTACCATGAAAGTGTAGCACAATGTCCATGGGCAAGGTGTATTTATATAGATGCTGCAGAAGTTGCTCCACAACTTTTGACACAAATTCAAGATATTATCCGGGAGAAAGAATTACGAATGCATGTTACTCCGGAAGAGTTGGATATTCTAAGAGGATAACTCTATTTTTGTAATATTCTGTTGCGTATATATTTTCATTGTAATTATATGTAAAAAGTCATTTAGTTCTAAGAAATATGTAAGAAATAAAACACTATACCGTTAAACTAAAAATATAGTATACCTAATGTCTGTCAAAAATATCTTGAAACTGTATTTTTTACGAATATGAAAAATCGATTGATTTTAACAAAATTTCACCTAACCCTCTAGAAAGTAAGTAATCTTTCATGGTAGCACTAGCTATACCGAAAAATATTCTAAAACTGTTAATTTGATACTTGAGTTTAAATAGACTGTCAGTAACTTTTGTCAACGTCAAATAATGGATAATTGTCAAAACAAAACATGGCGTTCTTTGAATATCTAATCATTCTGAAGTGTCATTCTTCTATTTATTACTAAAAATCTAATAATTGAATATATTTGATTGGTAAGTACATGCTTGCTGTAAAAAAATGGATCACAAAGCTGTTGTGATATCTGGTGAGGCTCCAGAATCTGACGATGAAACTGTAAACATTGCGACGGTGGGTATAACCTATAACTCTAGATGTATCGTAAGAGATTAGAAATAATTTATTGTATTTCCATATTTTTATTAGGGTATGGGATTTCCTTCAATGCGTACACCGAATCCGTGTGGTACAATTATATCCGGTGAAGCCCCGGAATCTGATGATGGTGATGACAATGATTAAAACTGTTACAAACACAAACAATAATAATAATAATTCTGACGGTCCATTGCAGATGGGACCAGTTTAAGCAGCGTTAGTGGTGCAGTTGATGCTACTGTTTGCCCACCATACAGTGATGTTAAAATACCAAAATCAAAGAAAAGTTGTATTAAGTACAACAGTTTGCTCCATAAAAAATTACGTAAGACTTTATATTTGTTTGTTAATATTCTTACTCCATATTCCATTGTAGATTGTTTATCGCAATTTATATATTTACTAAAATGCATTTATTGTTTATAGATCAATTTTTCAAAATTTTATTACGATGAACAGTATAATCAAATATATTGAGACATAATTATTTATTGATACTGTAGTAATACAATCTGAATTACAATAACTGTAATAAATAGGATTATACGATGATAATTTAGATACATGGAAAATTTTTAATCAGACGTATATTCGCTAGATCGAAGCCTCTATATTTATCAGGTCGTCTTAATATAATCTAGCTTTCTTCTCTTTAAATCGAGGCACATTACACACCCTTAAGTATTTTAATCGCAAAGTCGTAATTAGCTCCTATACTTTAATGAATGAAGGAAATAATTTTTTACAAGGAATGTTACTGTTGCGAACTTACGGACGGAAACAGAACGAACCTATGTATTAAAAAGCGATTTTTTCTGACTGCAAACAGGTGAATGCAACGAGGCATTAGACAGAGACGTAACAGAACTGAGCGGCGATATGATTACTGCTGGTGTTAAAGAATTGACGGCGGTTAATCGGCAATTATTACGAAGCGAATTCACTCTGCAAGAAGCTGCTTGTCAATTACGCAACGCGTCAAATCGTTTGCGAGATACTACCAACGATTTGATACAGCTCATCGATGCCAATTTCTTACATAGTGTTAAAACTTAGTCAGTTTCCATTTTCCTACTTAACGTTAGTCTTGTTGGCACGTTCTTGGTAATTCAATAATGGCCGTAACGTGATAATAAAGTGACCCTTTCGGTCTGAATATACTAAATACCGTTATATTAAAAAATTGTTAAACCTTGGGGGGCTTTATTGAGCATCGATCGACTTTGTTCTTAACTGGCAGTTCTATTTAATATATTAGTTAATCGCTAACAGCACATCATTCATTAATCTCAACTGTACCTAAAATATTAATCAATTATCAATTCATTATGAGCTAAGGTTATTCTGATTTATATAACGTAATGTTTATAAGTAGTAACACATTAGATTATTAACGAGTATTAAATACTCTTATACTGGTCGTTGCATTTCACTTTTTCTTTTCTTTATGACATGAAAATTTTAATGACAACGATCAAATAATAATGTGAATATTGCACATTATTTTATAGATGTCAAGATATATCAAAGAATGCCACAATATTAAGTAATGGGGCTTCTGCAGAGAATGATGGTCGTACGTAAAATTTTATCTTTCGCGGCAAACGAGCCGAGTGCTTTATCTCCTTTATAGTTAAGCACAGCATATCTACCATAAATAATATTGGAGCTCTGATTCAAGTAACAAATCTTCAACCATCTCGATCACCAAACAGAACCTTCATCGTTCCTATTGTTATGTACATAACAATATCCTTTTCAGAAGCCCCTATCTGCTTTCTTCATTTTTGTTTTTCTACGTGTTTCTCTTTTTTTATCAAACTGACAACTTTGCCTGGTATCAAAGGGTTGATATCATTTTAATTCTCTCAAACGTATCGCTAGTGTTAGTGCACAATGAATTTGTGATCTAAATGGGGATGAATTTTTTTTTCTCTATGATCCTCAGTCTTAGATATTTCCCCAAACTTCTTTTAACTTAAGAACCGTATGGCATAACTAGATACAAATTGTGGTAACTAAAATCTTTTTTGTGCTCTTATTGATATGGCAATATCGCGACGAAATAACTTTCTTTCGCAGTATTCTACGTTTCATAGTACATCTGTTCTGTTTCTTTACGATTGAATATATTCGGAGTATGCAGCGGATAATACTATGTTTATGTACTAGGTAGGTATTTGCTGAGCATCGAAGCAATTCCGTACAGTATATTACGTACTATCACGCACAATAGTGTCGAACTCACAACTAAGTATGCATTTCCCCGTAAAAGAACCGTTGTTAAAATTAACATGCTCCTGAGGAATTTTTGTAATTACTAAGCACTGCGAGTCAGTGCTACCGATTACTAAAGACAACTCATGCTAGGGATAAGCAAATACTTTTTTTATCACCAACACATGTCTGATTAACGAATTTAAAATTCGAGAGATAATCTAAGAGATAATGCCAAATGCTTTTGCGGTAACTTACTTTTTTTCCCTACTAGTCAAAAAAAAGAATTTCATATATCCCCTGTATCCTCGTGCACTTGGGTTTCTTCAATGGAAGCAGAAGTTTGATTAGAGTTATGCAATTTTTTACTTTTATCAATCACTATTCAGATTTCTCTGATAACACGCATTTCTATTTGCGAGTTATTAAATTTGCTTCACCACTTGGTGACCAATTTTAAAAAATGGGCTCAATTCCAGAAAAGAATTAATGTTTGCTGTATGTGGCGACCTTTGTAGAAGAAACGACGTCGCACTTGGTACATATTAGCCAGTGTGAGGGCGCCCACACCCCACATGGCCTACGCACGTTCCATCTCACCTCCACTCGCGTACATCTGGAGTAAAGCCATGGATTCCTGAGCTTGTCGTTTTTCAGCCAGGAATCTGCCTGATGCTTCCTTCAATTGTTCCAGAAACATCCTAAAGGAGATAAAAATTGATCTTGAAAGAGTCATACCTTGCATTTTATTCCCAGGTAATTCAGTGTCTTTTTACTTACCTGTCTGGCACAATATCAGCCAGACTATCTGGGTCCATGTCGCTCAGTAATTCCAAATCGTTACCTCCCAATAGAGAAATATGAGAGGGATCTCCATGCAGGGATGAAACTAAGGGTTCGATCGGCGTTCTGGCTCTTCTTAGTACATCACCGCTACCTTTGGAACCACCCTGTGAATTGTCTACGTTATCTACCACGATATAACGTGAAGCAGCTTTTCCGCCTGCAGCTATCCATTTCTGATCTCCATGAAGCACCATGAGACTTGTATTTCTTTCCAGGGTAGCAAAGTACTCCTCGTCATCTACTTCTGTTCCTGTGATTTGAAATGGAAATAAACTGGTTAGTTTATAGTATTTTATTTCTATCTTTCAGAATTACTGATCCTGCAAGTTCATTAATATTCTTGCTATTACATAGGAGCGTTTTTACTTACCATCTTGTTCTAGTACAATGGTGAGATCGACATCCTGAGGCAGGGCTAAGCGGCTTCTGGCAATACTCGTCAACTCTTTGAGGGATGATGCGGTGATCCCCTTTCGCCGCTCTCTTGCGTAATCGACAATTTTGTAAGGGTTGCCAGACCCATGAATTACTACTGCCGTCTCTGACATGTTTCCTTGGAGATACTGACAACAAACACTTTTTTAAAAGTTAAACTTTCTCAAAACTTCTAAGAATTAGGCTGAATGTCGCTTCAATTAAATAACAATTCCACCAAGGGATCAATGGTATTCTTTAAGTGGAAGGGCCCAAGCTAAAGCTTCACCGTCAATGTACATTGAGAGGTCAATGCACTGCTACTGGAATTCCGTCAAGTCCAAGTTTTCACAAGCGTCGAACGAGAGTCGTAAAAAACAACTCAGCAATACTTGGAAGGTACGTGATTAACTTGGAGCACGTTTAAAGGATTTAAGGGCGTTTTAATCAAGGTTTTCTTTTCCATTAAGCACTAGGTAAGGGTATTTTGGGTAAAAGTTTATACATTCGAAACGCAAGTAAGAAAGGGCAGTGATTTTGGATTGTTTCGAATATTCTTGGTTCCTTAGGAATTTTATGATGGAGAGCAATTTACAGGCGCGATTAAAAAATAGAAAAGGCGGTGGTGTGTTAATGTAGTGTCTGAGTGACTGATCCGACTCTGTGTCAACCCAACACTGGGTCAATGGTGCAACTACACCTCCTATTTATACTCCCCGTAGAGTTCTGCGTATATACAGTCAAGAGACACCCCCAACAGCATTCCCTCCCAACATGGCAGTCAGACAGAAATCAATAACCTACCCCACTCTCATTTAATTTTTTACCTCGTCCAGACGAACTGTTTACTCGAGCCAAGGGTAAACCTTCCAAATTTAGATTATTCCGCGACAGTTCATAAAAAAGAAATAGTATGTACTGATAAAATAGGCGTGCTATTCTATCATGGTTTGCGAATTTATTTGTCAATATTTATCCATCTAAGTACAACCTCATTTAACAATGTTTCTTCAAAATGCTGACTGAAAGGTACCGTCGACATATTAGCCATTTTACTATATGTCTCTTTCAAATGATTCAAATTTATAATTTATTAGATATAACAAAACTTGTTTTCTTTTGTAGAAACATGTAATATTGTATTTTGATATGAAGTTCATAGAATATATCGAATTCGGCAGAGCGTATTTTTAGTGTAGAATCATTATATTCCAAACAGCTTTTGTAATTTCAAATAAGAATGATGAATTTACAACATAGTTTAATTAATAAATATGTATTTGACGACTTCAAATCGAAGTTATCAATAATCTTCACCACATCGTAAATATTAATGCATGTCATACTGCTTTGGTGTATGATACATAAAGATACTTTTAACATTGTAAAATATGCGGTATCCTTTTAATAGAAATATATAAGTGTAGTTTTTATTACACACTGATCATGATTCATCCAGTAGCATGTGCATACTACTACCAATAGGAAAAAACGTTGGTACTATAAATATAGTAGTATATCTATTTATATAACGTAAGTGTCATAGACATTGTAAAACTTTGTACATGGCAATAGATAATTTGGCCCTTTTAATAGGTAACGAATTGACCTACGTAAATAATTAGTTTAACAAAAACTTAATTGAAAACATAAAAGCAATTATTGACAACGGAGTCTGTTTGAGATTAATTGAAATAGAAATTATCTATACAGTAAATGGCGGTTTTAATAAATAAATCATTATACACAGATTAATTGAGAATCAAAAAGAAAAGGTATAATCCACTTTCTAATAAAGCGTAAAAATTTATGCAGGTTACATGACTTAAAGGCACAGCACTGCTTCTAATTTTAGTTTGACGAGACTAGACACTGTTTCAAGTTTAAAGTTAGCCCGGGCCTAGCCCAGTTCAGGCTCTTGGTTGAGCCAAAGACTATATCCGAATGATTTAATCGAATTTAATTGAATATTAAACCGATCAAGATAAAAAACAACAATGCCGCCTCCGAATACGAACAAAGACACCGACGATAGTCAAACGTGGGAATTGGCTGAAAGGTGTCTTTTGCCTATTGCATTTTCGCACGCAGTTGCCGTTATTCTCGCTACCATTCTGAACACCTTTGGTATCTCACAAACTTCAAGTTTTGTTCTGTTCTTGATGTTACTGGCTATTTCTTTAGGCTCTACATTATTCTACCATAATTTGAAGGTGAGTTACTTATGTTATATAAAAAATTGTCCCCGTGTAGTCTCTAACATGGTTTTGCAAGTGAACGACTACCCCAGGGTTTTCGAGACATAGTGTGTACAGTTTGATAAAATGATAGTTAATAATTATATAAATGAAAAATCGCCATTTTATACAGTAAAATGTATTAATTGCGCATATAAAATGTGATGATCGTATCGCACGTATCCCTGTACGTGGTTAAAGGACAAGTCATTTAAAGGTTCAAGAGTGAAGATGTCCTTTGACCTCTTGGAGAGGACAGGAAATAATTGTTATCTTTACCCTTTAATAATGTCAGATGCATACGGGAATTTAAAAGATCAAAGGTATTCTATATTGAAATTATAGTTCGATTAGAAGGGGTCAGGCATGAGCTTTTCACCTTTGTTTCAAGTTAATGTTAAATAAAAGTTGAACATTACGAATACTTTTATATATTCTGTTCTATGTGGAAGTAATATACTTAATGTCATTTTTGAGTAGTAACGTAATACTATGATAATTGAATAAAGCTGATGGTGTATTATTCAAATAGGTAACTGCAGCAGGCAAAGCGGTACTTATTACAGGTTGTGACTCCAGAGTTGGATACGCTTTGGCAAAACAATTAGATGACTTGGTACGGATTTAATTATTAGAAATGAAAGGGTGAAGCATATAAATAATAATTTCTGTATTTTATATTCTTCAAGGGGTATACTGTGTTCGCGGGATTTACGAATAAAATCGAAAATGAGGAGCTTGCGCAAAAGTTAAAGAAAGAGGCTTCAGGTAGACTACACACTTTGCAATTAGATGCGACGAATGAACGTGACATTCATTCGACTTTTCTTTACGTTAACGAGAACTTGCCAGATGGAGCGCCAGGTATGCAATTAAGATGCTCAGACGTTTCCAACGATTTCAAAAAGCTTTACGTTCTGCAAAGCTTTAGTACATGATTTTTAGCCACTATTTTTAATTGAAAGTTATATGGTGATGATGTTTGTATTAGGATTGTGGGCATTAGTACATGCAGCGGCTTGGGTTGCCTTGGGTGAATGTGAATGGGTTCCGCCATCTGTGGTGAAGAGGAGCATAGACATTAATTTCATTGGTGTTACTCGGTTAACTCAGGTATAAACTATTTTCTTAAAATGGCATACCTTACCTACTGGAATTATGTACAGTTTTATTGTATAGATATTTCTACCCTTGGTGAGACGTTCAAAAGGTCGTGTAGTGCTGGTCGGTAGTCTCTTGGCTCGTATACCTAGTCCTGTACGTGGAATATATTGCGCAGTTAAGGTAATATTATTATAAGCAAATTACTTATTTTCCATGCGATATATTATCAATCATTTCTGATATGCTTCTCGTTATACATGCTATGTATTATTGATGTACAGGCTGCAATTGAGGCTTGGGGAACTTGCCTACGTTTGGAAATGCGTAGATGGGGAGTGGATGTGGTTATTGTAGAAACTGGAGAATATATCTCAGGTAATGCATGGCTGAAAGACAATGCTGCCCTGCTCGAACAAGCTAGAGATATGTGGACCCAACTAGATCCTCAAACTCGTAAGGAATATGGACAAGAATTGTTCCAAAAAGAAATGTTAGCTTTGGAGAAATACACACAAGGTCCTGAAGCTGACCTAACTCCAGTTACAAGAGCACTAACTGATGGTGTTATTAAAACTTTTCCATTGAGAAGATATACTCCAGTATCACGCAGTGAAAGAATACAAGCATTGCTCAGCGATCATTTACCAAAAGCTGTCTATGACATAATCTACACGAATTAATATTTTCTATTAGTGTTGAACAAAAAGTATAACACTTGTGGAGTTGTCAAAAAAATTTTAAATTACGACAGTAAAATAAAACTATAAATTAGACATAATTAGATTAAAACATTTTGAGCACGTTCGTATAAGACTTATTACTGTTGAAAGTAATAGTGTTAATGCCTAAAGATTATATTACCAAGTAGTTTATAATTCCGTCAAATACATGTAACAGGGTTAGTACCATAAAATTATTAACAAATAAATTTTTAAAATGAAATAGTAATGTAAGATCGGTTCAATAAAAAAGGAGATATAAGGATTCAAGTATCGATATATTTTTTCTCTTACCTTTACAACATCTTGATGAAATCAAGTGATTTCATAGTAATTTGACAGCTATATTTGGCGCGAGTCACACTGCAACACACTGTACACTGCTGTACACCTTACTTGCTTCCACACATTGCGCGATGACGCACAATTCTTTTTGTTCTCTTGCAGCATGGCAGCAATTGAGAACCTCTTATACGACTCTTTGGTTTCCTATACTGCAAGAAATCCCCTACGTTTATGATCCTTTGTCCCTAGCAATTATCACGGAATGCAGTAACCAAAGAGGGGGTGGGAATAATAAACGCTAGGCGTGTCGGCGTCTGTTTTGACACGAAAACTCGAAACTTTTTAGTAAAATCAAGTGTCTTCCATACAAACATTCATCTACACTGTTAAGGGATTTAAGAAAATTGTAATTTTTACTTGAGTATGTTAGGAGTGAGGGAAAAATCGAATGTGCCGATGTGGAAAAGGCTTTCGGCCGATGGCGTGTCATCACGCAATTCCTAAAAAGCTCACGGTCTCTTATCCCTTTGTAAATGCTGTGCTGGTTCACGTGCGAATGAGGTAATGCGCTCATATGGGGTAGCGCTAGGGCGGTAGCCTATGCCGGGGTATGGAGACGGAGAGCGTAAAATCTGGGGCTAGCGAGCATAGCCACAGCCATCATAGCCGGGGCTCGCAAAAGCACCATAGGTCTCACAGTAACAAGGGTCATCACAGACAACATTCCCATCGATCTAGCAGGTATATCATCAATATATACATATCTTATCTTTCACAGTCATAATAAGATTCTCTTACAATCTATGTGTCGCTTCTTGATTAGGAGTAGTCGAGGCCAGAGAAAAGAGAGACACAATTTGGATTCCAGTGAAATGGCACCCTTTCAAACGACTGTTAATGTCAGGGGCGACAGTGTGGATAATTTAGGCCAAGAAGTTATAGAAGTACAGATATTGCCCCAAGATGAAAATTGGGGTGAAAATACAACTGCTGTAACAGGAAACACATCCGATCGGTCAGAATCGACTGAGGATATAAGTCATTGGCCCAATGAAAACGATGGTTCATTTGGGTTTACATGTAATCGATATGTAGGCCCAGTAATAGCCATGATACTAGGATTAAGTGCTTTTTTAAGTCCTATAGCCATGGTTGTTTTACCAAAGTTGGGATTTTTCCCTGATTCCACTAGTGTGCTGACTTTACAACAGAGATTACAACTATTATCTTGTAATGCAGAATGTAAGGGACAATTACTGGGTCTGGCATTTAAGCTAGTTCTATTAGGAATAGGCTGCTGGGCTGTGTTTTTAAGGCCAGGAAATGCTACCATGCCACGTGTCTTTCTTTTTCGAGCTGGAGTACTTGTTCTCACTTTACTCTGCATTTGCACTTACTGGCTCTTCTATGTTGTACAGGTATTTATTAAATTTTTAAACAGTAACCATATCAATATGAAATTTGTATATCTTTGCATTTTATGAAAACATGATACTATTTCTTATTACAGGTAACAGAGAGCGCTAAGACTGCAGCAAACGGTGAAATCACAGAGTACAAAAGTTTAGTGAGTTATGCAGGGACTCTTGCTGACACACTCCTCTTTGTACATTATGCTGCTGTACTATTGATAGAGATCCGCCATCTACAACCCACCTTTTATCTTAAAGTAAATATACTATCTACAATATTTATGCACAATAGTATTACCGAATTATACCTATATGAATTCGTGATATATTAATTATTTCAATGAATTGATTGTAGGTAGTAAGATCACCAGATGGTGAATCGAGATCATATGCAATCGGACAACTGTCAATTCAAAGGGCTGCGGTCTGGGTTCTAGAAAGGTATTATACCGAATTCCCTATCTACAACCCGTACCTGGAACGGTTGCCTGTCTCAAAATCAGGTAGGAAACAGTCAAGCTTCAAATTTTATGAAGTCGATGGTGGAGTTGGAACGGGTGTACAACAACGTGGAGCTGGTGGTGACAGAGCCGTTCTAGCCGCTCAAGCGCGTAGAAGAGATTCCAGTCACAACGAGCGTTTCTACGAGGAACACGACTATGATCGTCGAGTACGAAAGAGAAGAGCCCGATTAATAACTGCTGCAGAAGAGGCCTTTGCACACATTAAACGATTGCATTCCGAAGCGGAATCCGCTCCGAATCCTGGCCCGATGGATCCCATGGAAGCTGCGCAAGCGGTGTTTCCATCGATGGCTCGAGCCTTGCAAAAGTACCTGAGGGTGACGCGGCAACAACCACGACACTCTGTTGAATCCATTTTAGGCCGATTGGCAAGATGCCTCGCACAGGATGCTGCTCCACGCGCATTTCTCGAGCCTTTCTTTACTACGAGTCCAGTGCTCTCAAACGAGAAGGAGCGACAAAGAAAATCACACCATTGGGCCCTTGTATGCGAGGGTGAACTACCCTCTCGGCCTTTGGCACCTGGTTGTGAGTTTCAACTCAGACAAGGAGAAGTAGCTCTTCTCTGCACGGCTCATAGGTTGCCACATTTCAATCTGACTGAACAGCTGGCTCATCCTAAGTCTAATAAGTTTCTTCTGAGGCTGAATTCCGAGACATCTGTTTAATAGTAATTTATCACTTTATCTTCTATTTTTTCTGTTTCTTCACATCTTCCATATAGTAAGGAGGTATACCTCGTACTACTGATCGAGATGAAATACTCAAATATCTATTGTCATGTTGCTCTTATCGTTGCAAATTGTACAGTGATACATGACAATGGTGATACATAGTGTTAGGCAGTGATACGTATTATATTATATACGTACTATATTATTTTGTCGTTGGTTAAGAAAACGAATCAGACAGTTAGTACTCAGAACTTTTCTAACGGGGAACAGAAAGATATTCCTGGTAATGGAATATATCCATTATTCGCCCTGTTTCTTACATGCTCGTAAAAGAATTAAGCAATGATGCTCGGCGGGCATTCTTAGAAAATCATCTTCACATTTCTGTCTATAACCCATTCTTAGTTTTTACATATCAATAAGTTATTACGCAATTAAGTCGTGTATATTTAAATGAACGTCGCCCGACGTTCTTAAAATAATCATTAGATTACTTTTCAATTTGTTGAGACGTTTAAAGCCTTCACTTGACTTTAAAAGCGTCGCAAAGGTACTTATAAGTTCTTAAAAACTCGGTGACTCGTAATATGTAAACTCTTACAAATTTTTCAATGGCTGCTGTGTATCTTTAATACAAAAATTCGTTTTTTACACATTCAATCGCTAATGCCGTTATGAATGTATTTCAGATAAGACGTGTTGATTAATTTTATAAATCAAAACTTAAGCTATGCCTAGATTAATTGGAAATATGTGTGCTTATCGTTATCATCATCAGATGCACGCTAAGTATCAATGTTACTCAAGCTGGATGGACCATAAGTATTTTAATTACTTTTTTAATGGTCCTTCGTACAATCCTTTTGTCATTAGGCATGTTCAGCAGAAACAACGCTGAGGTAGCTGATACATTTGATTGGTCAAATATTACATGGTCGCAAGATTTACGATAAAAAAATCAGTCAAAAGCTCTTGCTGTCTTTAGTGCTGTTTCTGCTGAACATAATCATTCAAATGCCGATTACTAAATTGATGACAATTTAATGCACCGGCACTCAAACTAATAGCCTCTCACTGCCTTGATACATTGAGATTCGAGAGGATCTGTGTAACTTAATGATATTTGTAGAGCTACAGTTTAGAATTTGATAAGAGATTAGCAGTATTTTTCATAGCCACATATCAGGAATATCAGAACAGGACTACACTGCTTGGCTCATGTCTATTTGATTGAATGAAATGAATTGTAATTAAGGTAAATAAGTCGACTAGAGCATTAAAAACACCCGTAGGCGGTAATACTTGTAAGATACTACAAACATTTTTATACTTGTGCATTTTTGTGACTACACGAACGCTGCTAGTTGGCGTAGCTTTTTTATGCGATTTTTTTTATTTATGTGTGCGAGTGATATGACAGTGTATCTATTGATTCACCAATAAATGAAATTTAATGTATAATTTTATAATGTTATGCTATAAATACGATGAATTATCTGTACAAATACTTCATACATCTTGCGTATTAATGCATGAAAATTTCATGATTCCCGAATAAGTATTTAGCTAAGTACAAATTGTTTGATTACTTAAAATCATTTAATGTTGCATGCCGGGTATTAAAGAATAATAGTTGATGGTTTCAATGGTTGAGAACCACTAATATTAGCTATCTAGGAATTTTTTCCCTTGTAGTGAGTCATTCCCTAGTAGTATCGATATAAAATTTGAAGAGAAATGGTACAGGTTAAGTAGACAGCCGATGAGCCGACTGCATTCTGTACAAATTTGTGAACAAGATCTCCTAATATGGCAAGCGACAAAAAGTCTGGAAAATCAACGTCCAAAGGAGGTAATTCCAATGAAGAGATATTCGCTGGATTTCAGACCCTCCGAAATGAACAAAGGATGATGGCTAACAAATTGTCTGAAATGGAAATGGAGTTGAACGAGCACAAGTGAGTCGACAAATTTTTAACCTAACTTTTTAGACTGAGCAAATTTTAAATCTATTGAATTAAATAGAATTGGGTATCAAAAATCAATTATTATAATTATCTAACGTTAATTGCGTTCTCAATCAAATGAAACGTTTTTTTTAAATACTTTATCATTAATCAATATCTTATCATATCATTGTAAAATATTCCATATATGGAGAATAATTATGAATGCTCTACTGATGTATACATTTCAATTTCAATTAAAAGATTAATAATGAATTCTCTATTTCAGAATAGTCATTGATACTTTAAAGAATGTGGATCCTAAAAGGAAATGTTACAGAATGATTGGTGGTATTTTATGTGAACGTACTGTTGAAGACATAATGCCCACTTTAGTTTCAAACAAAGAGCAGGTGCTATATGCTTTTAAGTTTTTATTTTTTTTTATTTTTAAGGCTGAAGTTCTAAAGTATGTTATTTTTCATGTCACATATAGCTGATCAAGGTAATAGATGCATTAAATGATCAATTGACAAAGAAAGGAGTTGAAATAAATGAATACAAGGAGAAACATAACATCAGGATTCGAGGACAAGATGAGTTACAACGACAGGAAGAAGATGATACCAAGGAAGGCACTGAATCTAAAAGAAATGCAATTGTGGTTGATCTTATGAAAGTATAGATGTATCTATTACTTGTTTCAACATTACTATATTCTATTTTACCCAATGAGTTGTCATTCAAATCTTTGATTTACAATCACCCGCATTTATTTATTAAGGTTACTAGCTTGTTTTTGTATAATATGAAATGTCATTTCCTATTGAACATATTATTCAAATATTTCATCAAACTCATACATTGAGTTGTGTCAGAACGTTATACTATGTTGAAAAGATACTTTAACAAATTATACAATAGATCTATGACTTATAATGATATCCATTCTCATAGAGTACCATCACAATAATACACATTCTATGTCAACATGTTCAACCACAAAAGAGAAAGGCTGCTTACACTATTTCAAACTTTACCTTAATCTATTCTTAATGTGGATTTAAAGCTTTCCAACATTACATTAGCTGAATATAATAAAATTAATTTTGTAAGTATAATTTACTTAGTGTCTTTTACCCCTAAAATATCGACCACTCTATTTCTATACTAAAATATATATTACATAACATTAATATTCTAAGTCAGCATAGAACAAAAACAATCTATGTAAGGCTGTATAATTCCTTTTTGTATTATTTTCATTTTCATCAAAATATGATCCAATGTGGGCGCAACATCGCGACTGTGCTTGTATGCGATATCTATCATTAGACCATAATTTGTGATTAATCGATTTCTCACAAATACGAAACACCAGAAAAATGTTAAAACGTTCATGCGTAACTGTATCCTAGCGTACAGCTCATATTGAACGCATTGCTCGTAGTTCGTGATTGATAAAACAACCCTTCGAGTTGAAAAATGGGATAAAATCCCGCTAAAGTTCTAAAGTCGGTGTTAATTGTATAAATGTCAGTCATATCTTAACCTTATGCTTATTATTGGTAAGCTAATTGGATAGCGAAGAGAGTATTTATGAATATTTGTTGCGCGACAGCAGATATATATATATATATATATGTGTGTGTGTGTGTGTATAGATAGCAAGGAATGCGCAAGTTCGGTCCAGCGGAGTCAGGGGATGACCCTACTGAAGATGTCTATTTTCCTTGCGATATCGAACCATCGATTTGTATATGCATGCGAGCCGCGAGACCTCCCATGATAATATTGTACGAGGAGTATTTAAAAAATTTAAGAATGGAGCAAGTTAGCTCCAAAATTGTGAATACTAAACGAGATGCTTACTATGATAGTGTGGAGTGAATTAGAAAATAATTAGTATGAAGTTATCGGGCCAGATCTGTCGTGTTAATTTATGTAGCGTAGGAATGACTTAGATTCAATGCGAACCATACGCGAATTGTTTAGAAATGGAGGTGTGGTGGTTCTCGCGTGTAGTGGCACATCACCCTTATGCTATACTTGCTGCAGTTTTTGTATTTTCATCCACCTGTCTCATCGTACCGCTTACCACCAAGAAATTTCCAGATTTTTCGGATCCACAACTTGTAAGTATTCGTGGTGCAGTGGAATGGATATCAGTTGATTTTAGTTTCATTTATGTGTGTTATAAGTGCACTGATGTTGTTTCAGGGCTTCGAAGCACGAGGTACAGTACTAGCTCAGAGATTAACAGCATGGCAAAACCTTATGGATGCTACTGCACCTAGAGGAGAACTTGTCAATAATCCATTGGAGTACTACCAGTACTTGCAACAACTCAGTCAACTGGTATGCTATAAAAGAAATTTTATTCATGATTAATACGTGATACAAGAGTCATTCCATGATTTTCAGAATGAGACTACTTTCCGCAATCATAGCAGAACGAGTCAGGGAATTGTGAGAAAGAGACCAAGAATCAAGAATAGAAAGAAAGGAAAGAAATATGGAAAACATAATAATGGCACAGGAAAAGATCCAGACGTTACTGAAGACAGAGATATGTGGGAAGAACTATTAGAATTAAGAACAAAAAATCGTTTAGATAACTCAGATGATCATGATGAGCGCAATCATTTAGAGAGCGATGGGTTCTTTTGTAATTTGCCAACTGCTTCATATGCTCGTGTTGTTCTTGGCTCTGAATCAGGAGAGAATAACTTGTGGTCCATGGAAGGCGTGTTGGCTCAATGTCACGTTGATGCAGCTTTGCGTGCGAATCCCGAGTTCTCAACCCTTTGTCAGACCCAAATGGAGCATGGCAGAGCAGGACAAAAATGTTGCCGCAGCTGGTCTCCAGCTAATTATGTAGCTCTTTTATCAAATCGAAGTTCCTGTCTTGGTGTCACTGAAAGCGATCTTGGTCGTGTGGAAATTCTGTTACAAAGATGCGCTGACTTCTATCATAACCTTCAGCTTACTCCGGACTGTGCAGAAGATCTTAGTTGCCAAAGACGGGTCCCTGCTGAATGCTACACTCACAATGCGCCATATCATTTGCTACACTACCTTCTTGACGTTGATTTTATACCAAGCAATGTATGGCTTAAAAAATTTTTTTTTTTTAACCAATTTTAGATATTTCATTGCATAACAGAGAATTTATTTCAGAGGCGGAGTCCTGCCAACAAAATAAACTCGACATTGCGCTCCGCAATGTTATTCTTGCCTATTGCTGCCAGTTCAGCGAGTCTAGACTTCTACAGAGGATTAAGCGTCGATGGATTAACATATGGGAAGTTTAGAGTCTTGGGAATGCAACTGGGGCTCAAGAGCACTCTTTTTGATCGACTTTTAGTTTCTGACTCGCGCCTAGTCCTTGCCGGCTTTGCTTTTGTCACTATTTGCATTTGGGTCTACACCGGTTCCCTTTTGCTAACAGCAACAACCATCCTAGCTGTACTTTTTAGTCTAGGAATTTCATATGCCGTATATACTCTTGTATTACGGATCACATTTTTTCCATTTATGAATTTATTGGCGATTGTCGTTGCCGTTGGTAAGTTTTTATTCTATATCAAAAGTTCGTGAACCTGGGAACAATAAAATATGTTTAATTATTCATTTTATGTTTTTGAAAGGAATTGGAGCAGATGATGCGTTTATTTTCTGCAAAGTATGGGAATGTGGAAAGCAGCAAAAGTTAACTAATGGAGGTCTAGTACGTTTAGTACAAGAAACAATGAAGCACGCTCTACCATCTATGTTCGTCACATCGTTAACTACTGCAGTTGCATTTTTTGCATCTATAGTGAGCAATGTCACAGCCATAAATTGTTTCAGGTATGATGAAATACATATCCATTCCATCTCTCAATATTAGATACGTTTATATAGTTTAACGAGGTATGCCCACAGTTTGTTTTCAGGCATGACTGTCATAGCCAACTTCTTCCTGATGGTAACATGGTTACCCGCGAGTGTAGTAATATCCGAGCACTGTCGTCTAAGTTTCTTATCCCCAGCAAACTTTATCGCCAGAAAGATAATACGTCCTTTGAGAATATTCGCTGACAAAATGGCAACCGGGTTTGGCAAGCTTCTAACGCGAATAGCGATAGATTTAAGATGGTTGTGGCTCGTAGGTCTCGGTGGTGTCGCTATAGCCAGTTGCATGGTTGTTTTCCGCTATCCAGGTTTACAACTACCAGATTCACCAGATTTTCAGCTTTTCGACAGTTCTCATCCATTCGAGAGATACGACTTGGTCTACGCCAGGCGATTTTGGTTCGAGAAACTTGATATGGTATCTATATTTTTTACGAACATATACAAAGACGTTCATGGTGAATGATTATAACAATATTACAGAGCGATGGTAGTGAGGTGTTACCACTGAGATTCGTCTGGGGTGTAAAACCTGTAGACAATGGAGATTATTTAGATCCAAAAGCAAGAGGCAATCTTGAATGGGACGAAAGTTTTGATGTCTCCAATCCAAAGTCTCAACTCTGGTTACAACAATTTTGCCGTGGGTTACGTGCGCAACCCTTCTACCGTAGCACCCGGGGGCCGCTTCTGCCTAATTGTTTTATCGAATCCTTACGGTCTTGGATGCAACGACGTTGTGAGGATCCGATAACAATGAGAGCAGATAGGGAACCATGCTGTGAGCGAAACCCATTTCCATATATGCCGGCTGTATTGCAGCGATGCGCAGCAGAAGCAAGTGCTGAATTACATCGCACTCCTGCTCATTTGTGGAACAGAGAAGGTCCAGTTACGGCTGGTTTGAAATTCGCCAAAGAACCCTTACAGCTACCTTCAACATCAAGCAATGATACAAAGTCATTGGCATATCCATCAACAAAGATCAAAGCTCTTGTCGTGGAGTATGATAGTACACACGCCTACAGCTTATCATTTGCTGAGATGGATCAATTTTATCATCAGGTAAATAATATTTATATTATATTATACCATATATGTACAGTACAAGAAACTATTTTATACAGGTAGAGACATGGATGCAAGATCAATTGTCAAGTGCACCCTTGGGCATGCGTGGAGGTTGGTTCGTTAGTCGATTAGAATTCTACGAGCTGCAACGCACTTTATATGAAGGCACCCTGTGGGCCATGGGTGTATCTATGATACTTGCCCTTACAGTTCTGGCACTTGTTACCCTCAACCCTTTAGTCAGCCTTTATGCTATCTTAGCCATTGGTGCTGCGATAGTAGTGACAGTTTCTGCATTGGTTCTACTTAATTGGAGACTCAATGTACTAGAAAGCGTTGCTGTATCTACAGCAATAGGTAAGTAGTATTCGGATAACGTAATCAGCAGTATTGCTTATCAGAGTCATAATGTGATTTCTTTTGTTTCACTTAATTCAGGATTAGCTGTGGACTTTAGTTTACATTATGGTGTGAGTTATCGAGCCTGTAACTCTGAAGATAGAATAGACAGGGTAAAGGCTGCATTGGAACAAATGGGTGGACCGACATTAATGGCTGCTGTAACCAGCGGTGCAGCTGGCGCACTTATGCTTCCTTCTCACGTATTGGCCTATATACAAATCGGTGTCTTTTTACTACTCGTCATGGGTATCAGTTGGTTATACGCTACTTTCTTCCTCTGTCCATTACTGGCGGTTGTGGGCCCCTCACCTCATTTTGCTCAGTTCCAATATCCACGGTGAGTAACCAGTGAAAAGAGATTTGAAATGAGAACATTTTTAAAACTGTAAAAATCTATAAAGTTAAAATTATTTTAGACTACAGACTTTCTTGTTTAAGTTCCGTAAGAATGGAACGGACGGTACAGCAGAAGTGTACCGAGATAAGGGTAGAGATCGAAGGAGAGGCAAGGGTAGAGGAATGCTATCAGAATCGACGCTGAGTACCTCCAGCACAGTGTGTCAATTTCATTGTGGCGAATTGGAAGCACTTGCTACACGCCCTTCACTTTCTCTACCTCCATCCCCGACTGCGACTTTACTTCATTTGGATCCCAGTCAAACAACGGTGAGAAGTTACAGGCGAAAGCAGACTAATGATCTTGACTGAATATTCTGGGATTTGAATATATTTTATGTTTCTGAAACCCCATTCTTATTATGCGTTATGTGTCAGGTATTGAGTTATGATCTTATTACAAAGTAACGTGTAAGTGGCTGTGCTGGCATGACTTATACAAGTATTATCAATATATTTACATATTTTGTTATGATCAGTCGAGCTCTACGTTAACTGATGTATTATATCTATCTAAAATTTTTAAGAATTGTTCGTAAATATGTTAAGGGACATTTTTATTTAATCATTCATATTTTTAATTTATTCCTCGTATCGTGACTTCACTTTGGGACGTGTTATATATGTGTACTTATACGATACTAATATAATAGATAGAAGGTGCTAATGAGATGTGTTTACATGTAATTAAAGATGTCATGAGTCTAATTACATATCGGGGAGTATGTATAATGAATACCTTTACTTTATACAAACAAATGATTCTCTTTCTCGTTGATTTCCTATGCTGAAAATATTGTTTGGGAAGAGCTGTTAATAATGTAACATTATTTTATTGCGGTTGATTAACTGACTGTAGACAGTGATTGTAAGAAATCAATTGTTTATTAATATGTATAAAAACGGTACTCCGTTCACGTCAGTTTTGCACTGATACTGCGGGACCTGTGTTATCAGCTCAATTTTATAAATGTTAATGAACATTGTAAAAATATCTGACAGTAACTTGCGAGTATTTATGGTTGATTATTATCTGATGAACTATTTATTGTTGAAGAGACACGGTTAAAATTAGCATGAAATTGTTGGATCGTATTCGTGATTGAATAATGTCCTCGTTCTTATGAAAAAAATGTGTTGAAGGGAGTCGTCTGTATTTTCATGTAAAAGGAGATACGAGTCATGGTCTGTGTTCTGTCCATATAAGTATTATCGTTTTGTGCACAACCAGTCTCGTATAATACCAATTGTTGTCAAGCATTTATTTAATATAAGCGCCGACATAATATCATAGGGAGGATTATTTATAAGTTGAAGCATTTTAATGTATTTTATATTGTAATGCACATGTTGTATATGGTATGTTTTGTACTTAATACGTTTCTAAAAATTAACAGTTTAGATTAATTGACATAACTGGAAAACAGGTCTAATGACAATAAGACTTTGACTTTTTATTATTTTCCATTTATAGGTAACTTTTACTCGTTTTTTATATATTTACTTATACTTAGTGTCCATACACGAATAACTTTAATCTATGTTCATAAAGTTCCAATATAGCCATTGCTAAGCCTAAACAGTATTTTATTATTATAGGTAATAAGTATATACATGTTTCCATGATAGGAACGAAAAGATTCTGATTGATGATGATCATCGATGATAACGAATGTTTATGTCAACCTGTGTTAGCATACTGCAAATTGTAAGATGACAATCATGGAATTAATATTGTGACATGAGCTTCCAATTGGAAGTTTTAATTATTATTGTTAACGCGTGCATAAAATTATACGTATAATTCATTTAAATTGTACCGTCATATACAAGTAGAGTATGATGATTACTGTAATTATTCGGTTTAATCATTTTTATGTACTGGTTGTGTACAGAATGTTCTAGTTACACTTCTTTAATAGAATAATTAATCCAAAAATGAACAAAAAACAGTAATTATTCGTTGGCTGTATTATAAGAATCTAAGAGTATAGGTATAGTATATAAAGCTGGTATTATGTACATCTAAAGTTAACAATTGTTAAACTAGAATTATTTGTAAATCGTTTGTTCTTCCATAAACGATTTGATACATGTTCGATAATTTTAGCACTTGACAAATGATAAATTTTAATGACTATTGACGATATACTTGTGGCGTTTTTAATTAATATATTTTCATTTACACATTGTCATTCTTATTCATTAAATATTTTCAGTTTATCAAATTTCGAGTGTATAGCTCACTTGAATGCAAGGATTTTATTCAGAACTTAGGATTACATAAATATTAAAATCACTTACAAAAACCCTTAAGTTACTCCCGACGATAAAGCACAGTGGAATAAATATATTAAAATATCGTTATCGTATAAAATATTCTTTTAAAACTTATGGAATATTTGCAATTACAAATTCATTAATTTATAATGCCAATGAAAAATGTTAATGAAAGCGACGACGCTTGATACAAAACGGCGTCATAGGTTCCGTGAGTGGTCGTTTTTCTCGTGGCGGTAATTGCTGATATGATCGAACTGGATTAGCCTTATGTATCAATTGTTTTCGAAACTTCGCAATTTGACGTTGTTCCATTTTCTTAGCGTTCTCTTCCTCCTAAGAAATATGGAATAGTTACTGATAATTTCATTTGTATTCTTACTGCTAATTATACACTTACAAGTTTCTTGGCCGTTTCCGATTGCACTTCCCTTTGTTTTATTGCATTGTCGAATTGTGCTCTCTGTCTGGCTCTTCTGGCTGTATGAAGTACAGGGCTTCTTGGCTTTGTTTTTTTTACTTTAGTACTCGGTACTGGATCTTGAACTGTACTACTTGGATTACATGCAATTTCAGAATGAGATTTTTGCGCACGCGCCTTTATATATCTTGGTACAGGTTTCGCGTAGAATACGGGAAACATTTTTCTTTCTTCTTCTAACATCTGCAAAACAATAAAAATGTATACATTACAAAAAGAAACGTAACGTGCGTTTGCGTGCTTTGTTGAAGGTGTGATCACATATGTAATGTATGACATCACACCTTTTTCATACGTTCTTCCTTGCGTTCCAACATACGTTTATTTTGCGCATCAAAGCTAAAGGGACTAAGTTTGGTGCAATGACGATTTCCGGTTTTTTGCTGATTATGTACGGTCTTTTTTTCAGATGGCTGAAATGATTAATTACATATATTTATCTACGCGGTTTTCGTTCCATCAGTGTATTTATAATTATTAGTATATTATTGCATACGTGTTTACTCGTAGAAGGTTGATTTAGGTTGATCGTCGCACCATTACTGCGATGAGAATGTTCTTCCTGCTTCTCGTTAGTTAACGATAAACCAGAGAGTAAAATACTGAAAAAAAAGTATAACATTTGATTTTGTTATAAATTTTCAGTTAAATCGTTATCTTACTCAGCTACTTCGTCATCTGGATTTGGAGAAGGGACATTTTCAGTTTGCTTCTTATTTTGTGATGACCATTTAGGCGTTCCAAATTGATCTTAAAACGTATTGATTTTTAAATACAATTATTTTTGTGCGTAGGACTGTACTCGTTATAATGAACATATATAATTATCTTTACAACATACCCAAATATGGAAGATCATGATTGGTAATTTCATTAAAATCGAGAAACTGTGGTGAATCGATACATTCCCATATATCCTTTACATTTCTATACGTATTCCAATTTTCGTATTTCTTTCTATCATTATCTTCAGCAATTTTCTCAAGATCTTCACTCATACTTTTTACTGGGCTGAATATAAAAATGAATAGATCGTGTCAATAACAAATTATGAGAATATGCACAAGATTATTACTGCGAAAATTTGATGACAGTCAATAGCGTTTGATTACCGGTGATGACTTAATTAACTCTATTGCAAAAGTTTAAACTTATCTTTAACTTCTCATCAATGTCATCAGATAATTCGTTATTCTCTTGTTGACAAACAATAATCAGCAAACCTAAACAGAAAACGTGTTTTTGCAACGTATCATTTTAAACCTTGAAAGTATCATTTATATTCATACAGAGCGCGAAATGATACGTATACATTGAAAATTTCAGGGGCGCAGGCCCTAGAGTAGAATTCATAGTCTGTGAATATAGTTATCGGACTTTATCATCTCCATGGTTACAAATATCCAAACAAATCCAGCATGAACGTAATTTCTACCCTTAGATACCTTGAGCCACCCTTTGAATAGTTTAAGGGAATCAGAATGTGAACGTGTTTAACAGGACAATGGTATATCGGAATTTATTTGTTTTCACTGAAATAACAAATATTTGTTTAATAATTTGTGTACACTCAGTGAACTTTAATAACTTGATTGTTTAACAATACAAATCATGAACGGCTTAGGGTAAGATTATTAATAATTCAAATTTGTAGTCTCTGAAACATATCCTCAATTATAATATTTACCAAATATCTTTACTTTTAGAATCGATCGTCATGGTGTTGGCGGTCTTGGAACCAGTAGGTGGCTGGAAGCGATTTGGGAACCTGGTGCTCGAATATATTGTTTGCCAGGTGGTCTGGAAATGCTTGATATTTCTGGCGACGGAGATGCTAGGTTCATCGTCGCAGATTTGGGCACCGGTGCTGCGGAATCTGCCAAAGTATATATAATTCATTCTATAATCATATGTAATCACCAGTCAAGTGATTGTTGTGATTGCGATTTGATTTCGTAGATTAGAGTTTTCAAAGGAGGAGATCAAATTACAGAACACAGTATGATAGATCCACCGTGTGGAGTTGTAGGATTTTATTCAGAAAACGGCGAACCTCAATCTGCTCTATTGGCTGTAGGAGCAGGGTCCAGCGTTTATATTTATAAAAATATGCGTCCACACTTTAAGTATTGTCTACCGTACATGGATGCGCATCCGAAGGAACGCGAAGTATGAAATTATTTTATGATAGAACAAAAAGATTCTATAGTTACTGTAAAATCTAATTTATTCATTATTCTGAACTAGATTTGGCACAGAGCAGGCCTGGAAGAAGAATTAAATGTGTTAAGCTTAAGTGACGAACTTGAATTATTATTGAAGGAATTGGGGGCTGCAACTATATCACCAAGGACTCTAAAGTTTTTAGGAATGGATGTGAGCCTTAGATTTAGTTTTGCTGAACAATATCGACGAATACCGCTTAGTAAAGCTAATGCTGTAACTACCATTGATACCATTAGAAAAGACTCTTGGAATGATCCAGCTAGCAGTTGCCTTCTGATAGGTACAGAATCAGGAGAGATTCTAGTTCTGGATTCTAGGTAGACATCCATTTTGCAATTATACTTTAAATCTTTTTTTTGTTATTTTAATCGATAATATATTATTTTGTTTTAGAGCCTTCTCAGTAGTGGATAAATTACCTCTGGGCTGGCCTCCTGTATCGTTATTGAGCACAGGATTGTGGGCAGGTGATGGACATATAATAGCAATTGGTAGAGATGGAAAATTGGGTTCTGTAAGAAAAGGCTGTGCTTTAAGATTATGGGACAAACTGTCAGCACCAGCTGTTGCTCTTACAACACTTGCAGGAGATAATGCTGCTGTAGCAGCGATGGATGGTACCCTTGTAGGATTTTCTAAAAAGGTACACATACATTAATGGGCTCACAGTATGACCTATTATATTAAATAATAATACTTGAATTTATTATTCCAGGGTATTAAATTGTGGCAATTACAATTACCAGGAATTGCTTTGGATTTGATTAGTTTACCGGTACTACAGAGTGGGCTTTCCTTATTGGCTGTTAGTGTAGCTGGTTCAGGAGTTCTTCTGTATGATGGAAAATTTCATGTAGATTCTATCAAGACAGCAGAACCGATATCAGCCATAAAAGTAAATAATTAAAAGTATATATAATATTGAGTCTTATTTCGTTAAATAGTACATTTATTTTATATTATATTCCTCCATAGCACGGCCGAATGGGTCAAGAAGAACGAGCTATGGCGATGGTAACTATTGGAGGGGGATTAAATGTCAAAATTTTGAAACGTACAGCTGATTTTAGTGTTAAAGCGTCAACAAACCCAACAATGAATTCTAATAACAATAGATTTACGATTCCAAAAAAGACACGATTATTCGTTGAACAAACAATACGTGAAAGATCAGAAGCTGCAAAAATTCATAATGCCTTTCAGAGTGCCTTTTTACGGTTACGTTTGACAGTCGCTAGAAAAGCTGTCGAGATCTTAGCAACAAATCAAGAGTTTAGACCCAATCCTATTACGCTAGAAGCTAGTGTACTCGGGCTGGGGCCAAATTATTTAATTAAAATTTTAGTGACAAATATTTCGGATGGCTTATCCGATACAGAATTATTTTTGGTATGTAGAGATGAAAATGCAGACATTAAGCCTAGGGTAATAGATCTACCTTTATTGCCTAGCGGAATACCAATACCAGTAAGTGTAAATGCTACCCCTAGAGGGAAGATACCGGGAAAGGTACACATTATGTTGTGCAAAATGGGTAAAGTAAAACCTATAGCGTTAACGACAGTTGTACTTCCTGTGCCTGAGGATGACATAGAAGTTTAAGATTTTGTATTATGTTAAACAAACTTTTGTTTCTGCCATATAATTGTATAGTTATATGTATATGGATGTACTTTCACTTTAAATATAGTATATGTATTTCATGAATTATATATATTCATACTTAACAAAAACTGTGAAAAAATCAATATTTTTTGGCTAACTTAATACTGAAGTTTATTTTCGTTATTGCAAAAAAACTATTATCTAACTAATGTTTTAATTAGTATAACAATCAGTAACAAATGACTAACAATCGATGTGCAAGTAAAGAAATTCAAGAAGTCAAAGTTGCCCGAATCAAGAGACTCGATCGAGTCTCGCGCCAAGTACAGGCAACCGGCTGTACAGGGCGCAGCGCGCCGAGACTCTTTACTCGAGTCAACTCCTTATACCTGTGTTTGGAACAAAATATCTTATGAACCGCTATATATGAGGAAAAGTTATTGATACATTCACTATAGGAATTGAAGGTTCTGAAGCGAAGGTTCTGCTGAAGATCAGTTGAGTGATTGCCTTAAGATATCGAATGAGGACTTTACAAATATTAAATCTATAATACTCTTTTAGTTCAAGTATATTTACCCTTCATTCAAGTAAATATTATTAATTATTAGAAACTAATCACATGTAAGTTTTGATAAAAATTTTCATACAAAATTCAAACATTAATTTTATTTTTATCTATTAAACATTCAACCACAGATTTCATAAAAACAAATTAAATGAAAAATATATATTTTAAAGAAAAATTTACTTTGATTTTTGATTTGAACTAAATATGTAACTGATTGTAAGCGTGCAAATGAGGAGGAAATCTTCTTTCCTCATGGAAATCTTTTGGTGTCACGTCTATGATTATCACGGTAGAAAGCTTACGAAGATTCCTAAATGACTCAACTTCTTTCTAAATGAATTTCATTCTACATTTAAGAATATACTTTCCTTTCAAATTTATATATATTTTTGTGTTTCTAAGAAAAATCAATTTATAAATTACATTTATATGGCATTTAACATTTTCGACAACGCAATATATTTATCTGATTAGTGACATTGCAATGCATTTATATTTTATATTTGTTTAACAATACAGATTTCAGTGTTTAAAACTTTTTTCATATATCCTATTGAACAACAAAAACTTGTGATATCCCCCAAAAAATACTTACGTGTAAAAAACTACGCCAAGTACAGGATTGCTGTGAATTCCTCTAACAAAATGTATTGATATCATATTATTGAGGCCAAGTACATAAGTCACTACATGTTTTCCTATTATATGATCTAGTACTGGCCCATCATTTTAATTATGTTTTCAATATTTCCTATAACGTTTTCGCTACTCTTTTATGTTACTGCTGCTTCCCGTATTTAATTATGATTTAATGGTGATTTAATAATTAATAAAACTTTAGGTGATTCCTTATCGAGTACTACTTGGCGGGTCCGTGCATTTCTTGATATAAATTTGGTACAAAACCAGTACCAGTTTTCTATAGAAAGCATATTAACAATAACTTGTCAAAAATAATCACGGTAAAAGCCTAATAACAAACATACAGTATTAGAATACTATGAGCACGTGCAAAGTAAGTACTTTGGAATTCCTGGCACGGACATGCCAAGTAGTACTCGATAAGGAATCACCTACAGTTTTATTAATTATTAAATCACCATTAAATCGTAATTAAACACGGGAAGCAGTAGTAACATAGAAGAGTAGCGAAAACGTTATAGGAACTATTGAAAATATAATTAAAATGATGGGCCAGTGCTAGATCATATAATAGGAAAACATGTAGTGACTTATGTACTTGGCCTCAATAATATGATATCAATACTTTTTGTTAGAGGAATTCACAGCAATCCTGTACTTGGCGTTGTTTTTTACACGTAAGTGTTTTTTGGGGGATAAACAACTTGCTCTACTTTCTTCAATCATGCTCAAAACTGCACGATTTATTATAAAATCATATGACGTATATATATTGAATATGAGGTTTTAACTTGTGTTCCGAAATAAATGTTCACAGTACTGAGAGCTTGTAACAGAACACAGGGTTAAATGCTACAAGTTAATTGATATGCTGTCGAAGTAACGTCAACAAAATTCTTTCTCCAAAAAATTCGTTGAAATAAGTGACATATATATGAGCTATGAATGAGCGATATGCACATACATATGTATACCCTTTAGTAGTGGTGTTCAGAGAACCATGGGCGATGCTATCTAGGGACTTGTACAGTTATTAGAGTGGTTGCCAGATATACAATGATGGTTTCAATCTCTTTTCACGTGCAGTAAATAATAAATAATTAAAATATATAAATGCATGAAAAATGCCAAGTTTATTGTTTTGGATATGAGGAGTTTGCGTGTGGATATCATGTTTGATGCAAAAGGACAAGTAAAGTGGAGTGTGATGAATTCAAAATATATTTTTTCTTGGGCACATCGCTTTTCTTGGATTTTTTTCTTGTCCATTCTATTGTTTATTCACGGTAAGTAAGTTAACTTGTTAAATGTTGTAAAAATTGTATTGTTTGGCTTTTCATGTTCTTGATTTTGTTATGCTAACACTTTGTTGAATAACTAATGTTTTATTTTGTCACACACTTGTTTCCATAACTTTTATGAAACCTCTTCCTACAGAGTCTAAACAATTTTTTGAATTACTTTAATATGATAATTACCTATTTCTTTTTCTTCATAGGTGATAATTGCATGGTACCACAAGCAAGCCAAGAAGGCTCGTTGCACTCTTTTAAAAGTTATAGCGATGTGGCAATATTTCATTATACGGTACCTAAGGAAGTACTTAGAGCTACATGGCAATTTGCTGCATTTATGGATGGCAAAAATTGTTTACCAAGAAAAGTTCATATGTGAGTTATATTGTTTGAAATATATAGAATAATTTATATAGAAAAAAATAAAATTTATTTATTCATAGATATATACAATGGGGGAGTTATCCTATAATATCTGTAAACAATGCATCTTTTCCACCACACATGTATACAAAAAGAAATGGTACTATTTTGGTATCTGTCATGACTACTTTTGAACCAAAGACTACTGCTACTGTACCAATTTATGGACCAGAAGCTGGAGATTGGTTTGTTGGTGCATATATGTCTCACTGGGATGAGAAAGTTCAGCAACAAGTAAGTTTAAATTAAAAATGTTAATAAAAATATTAGGTCTGGTTAGACACAATGGATAAACAGTAAGTTCTCTATTTCAGGGTCTTGGCCATAAGTGCCATTATAGCATAGGATCAGTAGCAATATGGATGCAAACTAATGGTATTCAAAATATACCAATTGGTTATCAGAAAACTTTACATACAACTGAACCAACTTCTTATTACAAGTAAGATTTATTATCTTTTCTAATAATTGTAATACAATAGTAACTAAAGTAAATGGTATTATCAATAATATCTTTATTTTTCATGAACAATTTAGAATATACATTCCATCAGGAACATGGCATTTTCAAGTCCATGTATGGGCTTGTAATTTTACTTTGCATACACAAAAAGATATGAATAAACCTTGCATACAAGGTTTGGCATTGAAGGGACGAGTTCTGCCAGTTTTTAATCACACTCATCCAAGTCCAATAGGAAATTTGACTATATTGGATTCATATACATTTACTGAGTTCTCACCATATGAAGATAGTTATTATTACCTTCTAGTTATTTCGGACAGCGTAATAGATTTTAATGTTAAAGTTATAATATCTGGTAAGCTGGTAGGTTTAAAAAATATATGTATTACTTTATTATCAACAACAACTTTAAATTATTCTTTTTTAGAATGCCCAATTAAAGACCTGGGTAAATCTTTGATGAGGCAATATCTGGATGCGCCTTCATTTTCGAAAGCTCTAGTCAAACTTCGTATGAGGAATGATAGTTTACAACATGATAATTATCGATTATATAAAAATCAATTTGAATTATCAAGTGAGGATGTAATGGTAGAAGATCCATGCGTTCCGCGGTTTCAACTTGCTAGAGTTAAACATTCTCAAACATTCTCCGGCGTCTATTTACTTCAGGTATTTGCAAAATGTTTTCTTTACACTTAATTTGTCTAACAGTTTGCCATTACACAGGTTGAAAAATTTCATGGAAAGAAACGCTTTTTTTGACAGGTTAGAGAATGGTTAACGTCATGGGCGATGCTGACTGATTCTTATCCAATTATGACCCAATTTAATATATTACCACTAATAGATATCGGAGGTACTTTGGATATCCGTGTCCATCTTGAAATGGATAAGGTATATCTGACAATAAAAAATTTCTCTTCTGTCTCCACAGAATTTTCAAATATCTTTAAACTTGCAGCTACTAACAAAACAATTAATTCTTGTCACCATATGCATTCAAAGATCTCGTGTACCAAATCGCATAAATGGACAAATAATTTGCGACGATGAGAACATGTCGATGACTTTATCTTCCTACAATAAACAAGATGGAAATGTGTTAATACCTTATCCTCAGCCAGATACCTGGTACATCGGTTTTCAAGCTAAATGTTATATGAATGGGCAAGTAGAAAGTCCTTAATTTTTTATGATTCAATAATGTTTTGTTGTTTGAACGATATTAATCTATTCGCTTAGAAATCCGGTAACTTGCGAGATGGAAGGAATTTTAGTTTCATTGGACGTGAGGACAAGGCAGTGTGTGTTTTCTGGTAGTCACGCGTGCGGCCATCATGGTGTTTGTCAAGAGATTCAGAAAGGTCTTCTCTATTATACGACATGCAACTGCTTTGGAGGTACGCGAATTACGATGTAAATGAAATTATCTTCTATCGGAATAAATTATGAAGGTCAGTAAGTTCATTCTTTCAAGAGTGAATTGTAATTGTTTAGGGTACAAGGGCTGGGGCTGCACCGATGCAACAAACGCAAGTCCGATGGCCTCCGTTTTATTGACAACATTAATGTTAACGTTGAGCAATGGATTTTTTTTGCCAGCTATATACTTGGCTATAAGACGAGGCCTATACACTGAAGGGCTAGTCTATTTCGCCACTATGTTGTTTTCATCATTGTATCACGCTTGCGATCAGCAATTCATGACTTATTGCGTTGCTAAATATGAAGTACGTAAAGCTTTACATTATTATTGTGAAAGTTTATATGAAAGTAATTGTTTGTAATGTTGTTAAACATACGTTTTATAAATTCTCACAATCATTTTTCCCACGTACAGGTTTTACAATATAGTGACTTTTTCTCGGGTATTCTTGCCGTTTGGGTAACACTCGTTGCTATGGCTGGACTGCCAACACAATATATTTCGTTATGTCATATGTTTGGAGTTCTTATCATCGCATTTGGCGTTGAATCTGATAGAACTGGTCTTCCTAGTATATTGGTGCCTTTAGCCATGGGAACAATTATTCCGGTAAACGATAAGATAATCTTATGTAAAAACAATCATCACGAATTATATTCATGTATTTAAAGATACTGGGTTTACTAAAAGTGTAAAAAATTCTTATTGATAGATGGCAGCATATGTGTATCGTTGTGTCAAAAACAACAAGTGGAAGTGGCCTGATAATATTGTCAAATTATTATTCGGATTGTCTCTGGCTACTGTCGGATTACTTCTATTTTCTCTTGTTGAGACTGAAGCCAATTATCACGTAAGTCAATTATTCACCTGTTATGGTTGCTTCCACTCTGTGTTTGCAGTAATCATTCATGATTTTAATGTCTTCTTACTTGCAGTATGTTCACAGTGCATGGCACATAGTAATAGCATTGTCCTTGTTATTTGTACTACCGCCGGCACGCGTTGAGTCATTCTTACCACTGGCCAATACTTCTCTCAGCGGTTCTGACAGTGAGTTACTTGACTATAAAGACTTTCCAGGTAGTCCAGTGTTTACCATACTTACTGACCAGCAAAACCTGCTCACTGTTCCCAGTTGAATCTCGATATAAATGAGAAAAGTCAGGATGTTTGTATGCCAAAAAATATATCACGTATAAGCTTTTATGTGCCAAAAAGATGTTCTGATCGAGTGATTGGGAGGTGAGTAAATCCATAGAATATCATGATAAAAACTAAAGTCATGAAATTCAATTTTGTATAATCTTTTGCAATAACAGTGTAATATTCAGAAGTACTTGCAAATATTTGATAGAGCGTAAAGTTTTTAAATATTATCAACGAGTCGATGCTGCATTTAAAGGTGCTTATATAAGTTTCTCAATTAATTTGATTACTATGATATATAAGAAGTTATATGATATACTATCTATGAGTAATTCATTAACGTGGTGGATGGTGCCATGTAACATATTATTATATACAATGCCTATTCTTTATTCTGTGGATTGTGATAATGAGGATTGTTCATTGTTTTATTAGTTGTGGCATACACTGCTGGACTAATGATATCTTTCTTGTTGGAAATTGTTCATGAATTTCTCTATGCGTGAAATGCATAGTGTAAACAGCTCTCTATATTCTAATACTTTCTTTTAATTGGCATATATTTCAATTACAAGGTTAGTGATTGCTTGGTGCTTCAAATTTATTTAGGGATCAATTCTGTATTTTGCGAATAATATTAACTTGAAGCTTTATTTTGAGTGAAGTATAGTTTTATCCTGGGCTTGTGATTTCTGTGCATTCTTAATCTCAGTTACTATCGAAGTACCTCATAGTTATGGTGTGTCATGACTTATTTCTATTGGACACATCTACGACCATATAACATATATTTTATTTACAATTAGGTATATTTCAATATAATGAATCAGGGTGACATGTAAGAAGACAGGCGTAACTTATAAGAAATCATACTATACATATTTAGGAGAAAGCAAATATATTGACGCACATTTTAATAATAGAATCCTGTTGGATGAATATTGATGCACAGTTATTGATCTGTACAAATTTAATTTTTTTTTACCTAACTCATGTAAAGAAGTTATTTACTTTAGCGACGTGTGAGATGCATTTATGTACAAGCATAAAGTTTCATTGCAACAGATTCTAACTATGAAAAGTTTATATTTTCATGAGATTTTCTTAAGTGCAATTAATTACATGTCATACTAATTTAGCAATATTTTCTAATATATATCCGTCAAGTGTCTAGGAAAACCATATTAGTTTAATATTTGCTTGTAATATCAGTTGATATTTAGCTTGTTCATCATTTGGGTTTTTCCAAAATAGAAATATTTTTTTACTTTCCATATAGTGTTCGAAGCTGAATATACTTCCATTCCTAAATGAGATTAACATTTTTCAATTAATCCCAGTCAGTTAAGATGGCTTTGAATTAATACCAATATAGCTATATACTTACATTGACATATAATAAGCATAACAAACTGCCTATTATACTTGCTCTCTATTAATATACTATGTAGTTTATATGATCATACATAGTTAAAGATTTACTACTGATCAGTTAGAGAAAAATTAATCGAAAGTGTCAAGTTCATGAAACGGAATATCCTTTAAAATAGTATTTTGGTTTATAATTTTAAGCGGTAAGCATACTGCATGATACATAATGTTACTGATTTTTAAATGTTCATGGGGGAAGATAACCATTAAAAACTGATTTAATATTGAAATAAATAAACATATATTTATGATCGTTGTTTTTTTTATTATTTTTATCATCTTACACTAATCGGATGATGCTTCTATCCGTTTTCTACTGATGTGCTGCATATTGATAATTCTTCAGCAGAAGTTGTTATGGTTTCTGATATTTGATCAGCGGCAATCATTTTACTTAATCTTACACACAATGATTCTTTCCACTTATCACAAATTTCTATCATTGTTGATTTCAATACTCTTAAATCTATGGAGATAAAATGAGCTTGAACTTCATCTTCAACTGCATGAATTTTGATTATCAAGTTTGTACATCTGCAAGGAGAAAAATGTATAACATGTGATAATATAAACATTTACTCTTTAAACATATTAGATATAAATATTCAAATTTTGTTATACGATCACTTACTGTATAATATGAGCTTCAATGATATTTCGATCTATCGTAGCATCAGTAATTGTTTGTGTAGATATTTGGTCAAAAATAATTGATACTTCTTTGATAAGATCGATAGATGCCAAGTATTCCTCAATCCAACCTTGTACGGCCTCCATTTCTACAAATTTATAATTTCAGGTAACACACTGAATCACATTGATGTTTGTTCACATAATTTTTTATTGAATTAAATTAATTACCTGTGTTAATTTCTTTGATTAAATTGCGATATTTTTCATTATCGTTAATACATTGTTTGATTTCTATTGATTTGAGGTTTAATTGCATTATTTTCGAAAACTGTGATACCGAACAAACAACAGATATGATCGAATTGCATATTTGTATTATTGCCTGGTTTATCAATTGCACTTCTGGTTGGAGTATTATCTAAAATAAATATATTTTATAATGACCACCTTATATATTCTGATATAGAATATAAGTTCATTAGAATAAATCAAATGTTACTATAATAAGCAATGTTAATCACTATTATCATAAATAAAATTGACCTTATTTTTTAGGTAGTTTGCTTTTATTCTTAATAATGGTATTGGCGTGGCAATATTGTCTCTGTCAAAAAACTGTATCAATGATGATAATGAGCGTTGAATACACAGAATGAGTGAATCACATAAATTTCGGTCCATCTCCTCAATATAGTTCGTCCAGTACTCCGTTATCTAAATTATACAACCACATATCTGTATTCATATATTTCAAGTACATTCAATGATATCTACATATTCTTAACATCTAACTTCACTGTACTTTGTAAAATTTTATATATGTATTAATGCGAATGCAAGACTGTAGTGATTCCTGTATCATTGATATATCAAATAATGAATGTATATAAAATTAAATTTAATATTTTCAACTATTACAAACCTCTTCTGCGTTGGCGTCAAACATTTTTTCTAATTTTCGTATCATTTTTACTATACTACTATGATACTCTAGTATTTCTGTGATTCCACGGTTTCTGAAATAACATTTATTGCAATAAGTATTTCGTTATTTTTTTTTCACAGAAGCAGAAATAGAATTATCAGTTTTGGAGTTACCTTTCCTCATTCAAGTAATTTATAAGATCATCCAGTGTGTACGTCTCTATTGTAGGATCATTACTAATGAGGTTCACCATAGATATGTTAACAAACAATTGATGGATTTTTAAATTTATTTCTTTATAGGTCTGTATGACTTCCTTAGACTGTACACAAATATATTTACAGTATAATTCAAATTTGTATTCAATGAAATGTTATTAGTGTATCACCTGTAATATTTGGGCAGTGCATTCATTATAGAACTTTTCAAGAGAATCAGAATCCCATGTAATTTTGTCAAATCCTTGTGAAATCGAGTTCCTGAGACTTTTCAGTAATTCTTTGAACAGAAGTTGTTCCTTATTAGATAAGGTCTTTAGAACTCCATTATATTGGATACACAATGATACTGCCCCTTGATATTTGTTTCTCAATGAATCCATTTTGGGCGGAAGTGCTTTTATATACTGTTTCACATCATACTTCAGTTTATTCCATCTGTAATTTTATTAGATATTATTGTACTTCCACGAGTAGCTATAATGATAATCTTGTGTGATTCCTTGCCCTTTAATTTCCTCGATTATCATTAGCAGGTTTTGATCCATATTAACTTGGATTAATTCTGTCTTATCCTTTTGCTGCTGTAAAACTGGTACTTTCAATTTCATTTTAAAATTTGTAATATCGTCAACTTTGTCATTCCACGATTGGAACAGTGCTTTTTCCTTATTGATAATACCGATGATTAGATTCTTGTACTTCTGTAAAATTTCTCTGAAATATATTTTAGTATGTTCGTGTAAGAGGTATGCTTTAGATAAAGAAATTACTCTTACAATTGGGCATCGCAATCTCCAAACCAATCAGATGAATTAATCATAATTTCATGTTGCCTGGATAAATAATTTCGTTTTATTCGTAATGCAGTTGCGTGTCCTGAATAATATGGCACCGACGGATGATGCATGTCCAATTCGTCAATAATTGTAGTTACACAATTCTCCAGTTCTTTATTAAAAATTTGCCAAACCTTACGAATGTAGTTTAAAAGCCATTAATATCATACAACCGTATTTTATCCTCGTATGAATCGGAACAATGAGAATACTAAAAAAAAATAACATTCAATATCTTTGATGCTTACCCCAACCCATTTGTTATGCAAAGTCTCCCGTAAGTATTGTCGTTCTTCAAACATTCGAAGTGCATACAACGCTTCAATTCCTTCCTCTACGTTTTGAACGTCAGCAAACATATCGTCAATTAAGTTTCTGGCCATATTTTCTAATTCCATCATGTGATGCCTGAATTCGCTTATATCATCAAGCCAAACGGGCTTTGCAACGTCCAAAATATCATCATAGGAATTTTTAATCATATCAAGATTTTCGTAGAATAAACTTTCGATCTTTGCATAATGCTTTTTGTGTTCCAGTCCCTTGCTGCCTCCAAATTTATTCTCTCTATAACTTCTGAAAATCAAATTGTAGTGATAAACACACTTCATGAACAATTCGTCGAACATACCTGCCAAAAACAGTAACTGCATCACAAATTTCAATGACATCGTGGCAACGTTGCGTAAACGTGTCTACGTGATTAAACACCTTTTCTTTATCCACGTTCCATTTCTTACGCGATTCAATATCCGAAGTGATATTGGTCAGCTGAAAAGAATTTAAGATTGGAAAAGATCATTTGCAAGTGCACTAATGTGAGTCTTCAGCGTCACCTACTCTGTCATAAATCTCTTTGTAATCTTGACAACAGGAAATGCATTTTTTTAACATGCTTCTTCCTTTTTCTGTATCGCCTTCAAAAATAGTATCTAGTTCAATATAATCTTGACATTGATTTATTATTTGCGTGCTCAGAGCCCGGCAAAGAATTTCAATTTTATTTCTGAAGACATAAAAAAATAAATTATATTAATTAAAAGTTTGTCACGTCTATTGATTGTTTGAGAGAAAAGTAAGTCGTTCTTACGAAGTATTATAAAACGGCGAATCCGTCCAGATAAATTGTATTAGAAACAATATTTCCGTTATGAAAGGCTTAACGGATTCAGGAGCTTTTAGCTTCTCACAAAGCTCAGTTAAAGTATTTAAATAAATAATATTTGAAGCAGCTTCCTTTATTCCCATTTGTACTTTTTCAGTTAGCGATGCGAATTGTCTTACACTAGCCGACCGAACGTTCTCTAGTTTTTTCACGATGAAAAGAACATTCTCGTTTATCAGCTGACTATGCAAGCAGGACAAATTACCATCTATAAAAATAATACTGCATTATTTTTTTTTACATTCAACCAATATTCACAATATTAATTAATACGTATACTAAGTATACTAACGTCTGTCATTCCAAAATGCAAACTCATCTATTATGCTATTGATATTATAAGGTGCTGTATCCTTTGCCAAAGCTTCACGTATCTGCCTGATCCAGTAACGTGCTACTTTTTCCAATCTACCAATTAATTCATTCTCTTCACTTTCACTTTTTTCAGGCTCTTCTTCGGCATCATTTTCCAGTAGGATATACTCTTCATAAGCCGGTGATTTTAATTTTTCAAATTTTAAACCTTCTCTGGGTATATAAAGTATCGTAAGGCCCATAGCCTTATAGGTAGCATCGTTTAAACTTATTAGAAACATATTTAAATTTGTACAGATAGCATCTCTCATTGCTGTTTCAAAAAATGGAGAATATTGATAGTTAATACTAATTGGAATAAATCTACAGAAGAAATAAAATAGAAGGTAAATACTTTGTGGCCATTCCTTGCTACTAAACACCATAGGTGAGTATATGTTCTCCATGAATTTCAGTACAGCGTTTTCTACATTGTGATTAATGCTTCCAAATATAATAGTAGACAGAAAATTTTCAGCATTATAAATTTGCCAGGGTGATCTTAAAAAGTAGGTGAGACCATCCACAGGATAAGTTGGAAACTCGAGCATCGATTTTAGTGAATTGTGATCATAGAAAACAGTGAGAATTATTTTAGTGGGATCGCGAAAATATTCTCTTATGACTTCGCAACATTCTTCATTCCAGTCTGAATCATCTAATGCATAAAGAACAGTAAAATCCATTACGTACTGCACCTAAAAATATGGAAAATTAGTTTCAAATGCTTATTCGTTGTTACCGCCATTTGAATATTACTGACTAGTGTATTCAGTTCCTCTAGAGTAAATATAGGCTTTTCCGGTTCAGCAGGTAACTCTTCCTCAGATTCTGGGGTTTCTGTAACATTATTATCTTTTCATAGAATGCTATATACGCAATAATGCGATATACGTTACGCAATTGTTCCTTCTTTGGTTATTGCTACAGATAGGTTTACTCTGTTTCTTGGTTATTAGAATTTACCTTGGTGACCAAACTCTTCCTCATCCGTATCCATGTCTAAATATTCTCTATGAAGATCTGGCGGTGACTTTTCAATCTTTCTTGGTCTTCTCGTGTCTGATTCATCATTCTGATTATCCTTTTTATCTGCCATCTCGTCACAATTTCACTGTTTTAAATACACAATTTTGTTATTTATTCGTAAAAGCAATACAATTCTTTTCCCTTGTAATTCTACTCTGCTGTTAAACTTTACATTAAATTCTGGTTACTAAGTGCGCGTGATATGTTATATCAATATTATAATATATAGTAATCCAGTCGTGGGAGTTTATACCTAGAAACAAAATTTAAGTTAATATAAATTTGATCAAAGAAACATATACGCGTAAAAGATATTAAAATCGAGTTTCACAATTAAAGATTTATGTATTGATTTTATTTTTATTAATTTAACTTTCTTTTTCTAGTTAAATCCCTGTTCTGAACTCTGCTAAGAATCGACTATAAGGATATAATTGAATTCGATATAATTATGGTATAATTAAAATATTGGGTTCGAGAAAACTGCATTTTTATTACTAGAAAGTAGATAACAGAATAACTCGTAGAAAGGAGTATTGTGTTATACCATAAATAGACTATATCGAATATTGCATTCACGATGGTAGACTCATAGTGGAGTTACATGATATAAGATGATGCTAATTTCCAGTGGCAGTACCGGCCCATGTTTCTGCCTCTAAAGTAGTTACATTCTGAATGTCTTACTGCACGTACGTACCTTATCACGGAGCTTGTCGATTTCATTGCAGCGAATAGAAAGTAAGGCAATTTCATTTTAAAGCAGTATAATTATTAATTTCTACAGTTTTCGAGATGAGCAGATAAAATATTTATTTCAATATTAATTAAAAAAATAATCAGTGCTTACGTTAAATGTTACGGAAATTTGTTTGTGCTTATAAATTGTTTGGTGCTATAAACACATTTTGTTGATGTGGCAGGTAAATTTTTTTAAGTATCGAGTTTTTGGTGTAAGCTAATGTCTATATAATATAGTTACTTTGAGCGTTTCATGTAAATGAGTTAATGAGATGCATCGAATAATGTTACTACATTATGTAAATTTTATGACTCAGGTTGATTATGCTTGGGTTATTAATTTTTTATTTAAATATGTCATTAATGGAATGATTCACTCCTATGACTATATATATACTATGATTAATAAATAATTGAAACGCATTTGCATGTTCCTAAAGTAACGTTCCTGCTTATAAAATCCGATTGAAACCAATAGAAATAAGCCGATTACCGATTGTATTGCAATGGGATTTAATTAGACGCATTTGGTTCCCAATCGAAAATTAATCTGAATGAATAAGCATCGTGTCAAATGGGACTTTATTGGTGATTATGTTATAAAAGAATTAATCTTTAATTGCAATTATAGAGAATCCCGTTCATTAACGTTAGTATATATCTGTAGGATTTAATAAAAAATGATTCATAAACAGATCTGATTTATTTCGACTTTTTTTCGATTGAGTTCAGTCGCTTTTTTTAAAGCAGGAATGTCGCTGATAATATGTTACTGACTGAGCTTACATAATAAAACTGTCATGTAATTTTTGTTGCAGAGGTTGTTATCTGCAGATTCAAGGCTAATTCAGAATTATAGTCTGATTCACATTTTATAAACCTGTCACGTTTCCTGAAGAAATTTTCAAAAATGACGCGTCAGTTATTTGTCGGTCCATTGATCCATTCAAATGAGAATGGCCAATTAATTGTTACTCAGCGAGTAGCAATTCTGGTTGAGGATGGAAAGGTGATTAATCTCCCATGATGCAATTAATATTTGATATAACTTTGTATTTGAAGTAAATTATTTGAAACGTAGTTAAAAGATTATAATGGTCTCTTATCAAAATTATGTACGGTCGGAGACGATAATGCAGGCCAGGGACAATCTCTATAACTAGTTGTACTACTCTAACTACTGATAAATTGAAATATTTAAGCTTCATCTTACAATGATGTTTGTTTTAGATAACAACTGTTATGGAAAATCCAAAACCTGGTGATATGACAGCCGATTACGTCACTCTGTTGAGCGCTGGCCAATTTTTAATTCCAGGTTTCATTGACTGTCACATCCACGCGGCTCAATTTCCAAATCTAGGTGTTGGATATGATAGAGGACTTTTAGATTGGCTAGAAACTTATACGTTCCCATTGGAGAAGCATTATTCTGATCATAATTTTTCAGAGAAAGTTTATGATGTCGTTGTGGTCAGTTTCAATGATTCTTATAAAATGGATCTTCTATCAGGACATATACTATATTATTGTTTGTTGGGTACAGAAACGAACACTAACAATGGGAACAACAACTGCTTGTTACTTTGCATCCCTTTATGGCGAATCATCAGTGATCCTTGGACAAAAAGCAGCACAGTTTGGACAGCGCTCACTAATTGGCAAAGTTAATATGAATGTAAAACGGAATGATGGATATTGTGAAACTACGGAAGAATCTATAATTAATACAAAAAAGTTCATCACAGATATAAATAAGATTGAGGTAAAATTTTAATTTACTTTGAGGAGATATTAGAATATATGCTTTTAAGAAAGTAAAAATAATTGAATGTTTCATTATAGAGCCCTCTAGTAAAACCTATCATTACTCCTCGGTTTGCACTAAGTTGTGATATGGAATTAATGAAAGAATTAGCAAAACTCGCTAAAAAGTTTGATGTCCATATACAGGTATGACAATGGCATAAATATGCTAAATAAGTGCATTTTAAGTAATATTTAAAATGATATTAATTAAACAGACGCACATTTCTGAAAATCTTGATGAAATTGAAGCAGTCAGACATTTATTTAAGGATTATTCATCGTACAGCGCTGTTTATGATGAAGCTGGACTTCTTACTAATAAGGTATATGGCAATCAATCATAAGTTATCCATGATGATATTATATGTTATACGATTGTGTGTAGACTATACTGGCTCATGGCATATATCTTACCGATACTGAATTGGATCTTTTAAATAAAAGGGGCACTTCTGTGAGTCACTGCCCATCTTCTAATACTTGTTTACGAAGTGGCCTTTGTGATGTAAAAAAACTGAAGTCTCATGGTGTGAAAGTTGGTCTCGGAACAGGTAGATACTTGTGAACTGTATTAAAACTTGTATAATAACAAAACAATAAATTCCCTATTGTCTTCAAAGATGTTTCAGGTGGTCAAAGCTCATCTATCATAGATGCAATGAGATCGGCTCTGCAGGTCTCTAATCATATTGCGATTCAAACACCTGGATATGAACCACTAAACTATAAAGATGTATTTTATTTAGCTACTCTGGGAGGAGCCACTGGTACGTTGCAATGACTAATTTATATGATTAATTTATTTGTTTTACAAAGTGTTTCGATGAGTGTTTTTTAGCATTGGCACTGGATGAGCATATTGGTAATCTGGTACCAGGAAAACAATTTGATGCTCTTGTGATAGACTTAAATGTCTCAACTGGTCCATTGGATAATTTGATTGAGTACACGCTTGAAGAAAAGTTACAGAGACTTATTTATTCTGGGGATGATCGTAACATTGTTGAAGTATATGTCGCTGGTCAACGAGTTAAATGAAGATAGCAGATTTTTATCATTAAAAAAAATGTAAAAACGTGTCAAAATGATTAATGAAATATGAATAATATGATTATTTATTTTAAACCTATTACTGATACAATCGACATTACAATTAATAACATTTATTTTGTATCTTTCACTAAGACCCGTTTTCTTCAGCGCGGTTCAATTGATAAACTGTGTTTATCTTCAAAATACAAGTGTCTGATTGGCTAATAGCACAGTTAAATCGAGTTTATGCATTGAACCGTGTCGAAGCAAATAGACGTAAATCTTTCTTTTTGATCCTTTCCAATGGGGGACTGGACAATTTTATATTTTGAATAAATTTCGAAAGTAAATCAAGATCCAATAATATTTAGTAAATATAGAGGTGCTACACGGGTGTCAAATGGGCACACGGCATTTTCTTAAAAATGTCTTTAAAATGTTTCAACAATAAGCTCTTTTAATAGTTTTTGAAAAGTTCTATAGTTCCCGGTCTCGTTCTAATAGTTGCTTTGGGAACCAGCGGTGAGTAGCGGAGAACCTCTGTCCGCCATGCTACACGTTTTTGTTTACGTTTAGCTCGGCTACGACGGGATATGCTTTGTCGATGGAGGCGATGATCACAAAATCCTACTTCCAGACTCGTCGCTACGATTTAGCGCCATGATTTTGGTATCGCCTAAAACCGGAGCGTTGTGCATCTCCCCACTCATCACTGCCGTAGTGTTGTGAATCTCCCTATTCATCTCTGTATGTGCATTTAGTTTTTAGAATGTAATCTTATCGGTAATTTGTAATGTAGATTCCTATACTGCAATTGTAGCAGTACCTACAGTTGAGAAGATGAGAAAATGGAAACCACCCACCGCATGTAATTCATCATAAGAGTTTTCTGTCCTCATTGGAAAAAGTGAATGTTGTTCCTTGGGGTTTCTATCTGTAAATTGGTTCGACTAAAATTAGGAGATCTGGTGAACTGGACAACATATAACTTGTGCTAATCAAACGATAAATTAAGTTATTTAATTACGTGTACCTATTTAAATTAGTTTACTTGCATTGTTTATTATGCGTTTGCCAGCATAATGACAGCTGACAGCTAACCTGCGTGACGTTTGGAATTTACTTATTTTATGATGAGACAGAAATATAGCGTTTCTTTTATCATTTTCCATGCCTTCGTGTTTTCGACATTTCTTTCTGGTATAATATCAATCAAGAGCTTGTAATAAGAATTTTCACATGTATACATTACTGATAAATTAGTGTAAATAAGCTATTGTCATTGCTAAGTGTTTTCATTTACGGACGGTAATTAATAATAAAAGCAAAATGCTCAATCGATTTAAGACAGTTTTGATGAATGCTGTTGGCGCAAGTGAGCTGGGTACTAGCGAACTTGGCATAGAATATCCTGTTACTGATGGCGATGTGGATATCGACTATATAAATGCTAATGCAGCATTGGAAATAGAAACTATGCCTTATAGTAGACCAAGCTTCTTAGGATTAACTAGTGAAGAAACGCAGGTATATACTTAAAGATATATCAAGGTATCTAGTTATTTCTGTTAATAATTTCATTAAAAAATAATTCTTTGACATTAGGTGAGCGCTGACCATAGAGTAAGACCAATTATAGTACCCAGGGATTTGAGCAGACTGCCATGGTGTGCTGGATATGCGGAATGCATAAACGCAGGGAAAAGCAAGTTAAATGAAGATCAAGCTTCAGCCACGCGGGGCGATTTAAAGTTACATGATTCTAATATTACAATACCATATGTAATGTTTTCTATGTTTGATGGTCATGCAGGCTATCAAGTAGCTCTCAGTGCAAGAATACATCTTCATAGAATTATTCTTGTAAGTACAAACAATTTGTTCATAATGTTTAAATTGAAATGTACAAACTACTTTGCTATAAGTCAAAGTCTTACAACTCTCTTTTTTATAGGATAGACTAATGACAATACCCAGTGTTGATTTATTTAATGAAAGTGATACAGCTGTAGTAAAGGGTAGTGATCTTGTTACGGGTGCTATAGAAATAGCTTACAGATTGATGGATCAATCTGTTGAAATGCAAGCTCAACGTGGTGGCGGTGGTTGTACGGCTATTACAATTTTATTCTTGAATGGCAGATTATATGCAGCTGGTGCGGGAGATTCCAGGTATTATACTATGACTTCATTTTCCGATAATGATTATAAACATATCTTATTTATTAATTATTAACTTAGGACTGTCCTCGTTGTTGGCGAGGGACAAAAATCTCTCACGAGAGATCACACTCCAGATTCGGAGTCGCACCGTGTAAGGGCTTTAGGGTCCCTTAGAGGTGGAGAATTATTAAAGGGTCACTTTACACAATTAGAATTCATGCGCCGTCCAATTCAACAAGAACTAGGTCTAATGATTTTATACAGAGATCCTCACATGACTGGCTGGGCATACAAATCTTTAGCCCGACCAGATTTAAGATTGCCACTAATTTCTGGACGTGGTAAAAGGGTAATTACACGTTCAAAATCATTCTTATTCTCAATAATAAGATGACTTTAGAAATGACGATATGATATTTACAGAGCAGAGTAATGGGAACTATTGGTGTCACAAGAGGATTTGGTGATCACGGTCTGAAGGCAGCTAACACCGGTGTTAGCATTAAACCGTTTTTGTCTTCACAACCCGAAGTGACATCATTAAATTTAGATGATTATGATCTCACTGAGAGGGACTGCGTTATTATGGCAACTGATGGGTTGTGGGACGTCATTACAGAAAAAGAGGCTGCTAATATATTAAGAAAAACTCTAGCCCCTGATACTCCTTCCTTGGAATACAGGTAATACCTTTATACGAATGTTCATCTTAGTGATTCTACAGATTTATCTTTTTTTCCCTTCATTGTTAGACTCACAATGGGAGCTCAGGAATTGGTTCAGGCTGCAAGAGGTCAATTGGTAGGACGAGCTTGGCGAACAAAAAGTGAAAATTCTGAGGGTATTGCAAAAAATACTAAACCTTCGATACCATCGGTTGATGACATAAGTGTACTAGCTGTACCAATTTATCCTTATTTATGTGAACATAAGCAATGGATAAAAACTACACAGCAATATACTTCAACTTAAACAAAGAATTTTACATATCTAGTGATGCGATATTTAGTACATACGTTTAGTATGTTTCAGATGCCAGAAGCACGTGGGTTTTTCAGATACTCTTAATTTCTTTTTTGGAAATTTATAGCCATGCAATTACTACTAGGGATGAATCTTTTTGTACAGTGAATTTAGTGCATTTATTTTGTTTTAATATTAAAACATGATCTTTCAAAATCTCTCTTGCATTAGCATAAGAACATCCTCATATATTACGTATGAAAGAGGCACATAACACGAATATGCATTCCTTTACTTGCGGCACGGTTTACTCTATAAATATTCCTATGCCGAATTATTTATTTGAATTAATTTAGCCTGTGAGACTTTGTATAAGATACTATTGATGATATTTAACTCGAATGCATCGTGTATAACTTTTATAGATGCACGTGATTCCAAATAAATGTAGGTATGCAAAAGTGACTTTGAATAAGTCATCTATATATATTACACTTATATTTGTAAATAGATAACAATTGCATTAGTATATTTTTGAAAGCGAAATAATATATAATTATTCGCTAACTAATCATGTATCATATATTGTACGACCTAGTAGCTGATTGTAATTAATGTAACGAATAAATGGAAAAAAAGCATTTAAAAATATTTTTAATAATTTTTCTAACGGCCATTCCCAAAATATTTCTAATTTCCAATATTTCAAAGTTTTAAAGTAATGCAATCTTCGTGAACTACTTTTCTAAACTACTCAGCGAGTTCAAAGAAAAGTCTAATGTCCGTGTTGGTGATTTTCTCTGTTAAAAAAACCAACAAATAATTGATAAGTAATTAATAAAGGAATAAAAGTTATCTGAAAATATGAATAAACTTTTGTTTAATTATATAAGATTCATACTGCATAAGATCGTCGTGGAATTTGCGTCACTTCCGATTTCCCATAACGTACGGCCATTAGATTTTGTAACGGTCGACTGCAAGAAGTCTGTGCAAGCTTTCTTCCACAAGTCACAATTCGTCTCGGATTCTAGTTATGTTATATGAATATATAGTAAAGGTAAGAATTGAACAATATCAAAAGTTACAAAAGGATACCTGCGTGCCGTGGTATTGTTGTGGAGCTTCGCTTTCATTTTTCAACGGTATCTCATATTTTCTATCGGTTCTTCCATCTTGCAATCTCGCAACATTGTAACGTCGCGAAACATAACTTTCGATAAGCGAAGGATTCTCCTTTTTCGATTGAGTATAAGGTTTCTCAATCTCTATGACAGGACTGCTTTCTATCAGAGAATTGTCTGTGATATTTGTCGAGTCTGTATAGGTACGTACAGGACTTGAGAAATCAGGACTATTGGAATTGTTCCATCTGAACGATCTCATAGGTACCGGTATTTTCGATCCTATCCATAAGATACAAAGCTGCAATAAGGAATAAAAATTCAATTTCTACTTCACAAGTTATTAATCTACCACTTTCTGGTGTAAAGGTAACATTCGCTACAGAGTTGCAGCATAGTTTTCTCATTAAATTTCGTGAAGGGAATAACGGGTTCAGCCATATTTTAAATTCATCCGTTTTAGTGTGAATGGCTGTAATAACATTTCATTGTTAACCGTTGTCAGACAATGATTTTTCTTGTTAGTTATTCTAGTCAGTTTATTATGTGTCTACTTGGTTCTACGCTTGGACTACGTCTTGGAATTCTACTTTGCAGTCGTGATACATCGCAAGTGTGTCTGTGCTCTTCTGTAACAATTTGTGATTCACTTTCTGCACGTCGAGATATGTTGGATGGCGTCTTCTTAGACCTGCGGAAGTCAGATATACGTATGGTGAGTCGAAACATTTATTTCTCTCTACGGTACGATATATATGACGCATATCAAGATATATATATATATATATATATATATATATATATATATATATATATATATATATATATATATATATATATATATATATATATATATATATATATATATATATATATATATATATATATATATATATATATATATATATATATATATATATATATATATATATATATATATATATATATATATATATATATGTTATGAGATAGTCAAGATATATATGTTCTATACAAGGACTGGCTGCGATGACTTGATTTTCTGGAAGACCTGCTTGAGTCGCTTTGATCTTTCCTGTATTCTTCTCTAGGTTCGTTTAATATTTTCAGTTCATCCAGCCGAACGGATGAATTTTCCTTCCCCTTGTTCTCGCATTTTACTGCACGCTTTTTGTGAGACTCGCATTCGCCATATGATTTTTGATATCCCGACTGAAACGTAACTAGTAAAATTATTTGAAAATAAGTTTATTTTAATACTATTTTATGTCAATTACTGGATTTACGGAAGTGAGGTTTTGTATATCCGCGATTGGAGAAAAATCAAGTTCTGGTAATTTCGGCGCGAAATGTCCAAGAATATATGATGAGTTTCGATTTTCGCAATTCTAATAGCGGAAGCAAAATTAATTGATATCGAGATTTAATTTGAAAATTTCCGTTTAAATAATCTTACTGCTTGTGGAATTAATGGCGATGGTAACGCTCCGCAAATAGATATTGCTTCGAATTGAGATGTTTTATTTTTAATTTCATTCTGAATAATGGACACGTCTTCCGCGTCGCAGACGGGTATAGAATCATCAAGAGAATTTGTTTCACTTCTATTAACATTTTCATGAAAATTTGTCGTTCGTGAATCACGACTATTTAAAACGTTAAGTGACGAGGAGCATTTGGGTGTTAAGATTAACGATGTCAAGTCAATTTCACTAATTTCTTCCTCTAATCTGTTTACATCCATTTTGGGAGTGAGGTCTTGAAAATCATTTTTATCAGAAATCGATAACTTAATTGCATCCTTTAAAAAAGCTAAGACTGACATTTTCCCAGTGGAAGTACCAAATCCAGCGGCCTGACTTGTCACATCGTTCCTCGAATCACGTTGAATGTCAACTATACAAATTGGCGTAAAATAATATAGCTGGCCAACCTGTGACAAAAGTTCAACTCACGGTTTGGCTTCTGTGCTATTTTTGAAATTTCTCTATCAGTGCGAACAGTCGGTTTTACAATGGCTGTGAGAGTAGACAAAGTTATGCCAGTTTCCGAGACAGTTTCCACCAGTTGACTTTCTTGTCTCGACCTGATTTCGTGCTTGTCCTCCGATATTAAGATTGGCTTCCTGTCCATCTGCTTCTCATGAAGTCGTTTTAGAGAGTCCACTCGAAGGAATTGTCCCATAATTTCATAAATTGCGAAACTAAGGTATTAACGTTAATTGGAATATTTTAAAATGAAACTTTTAAATGAAACGTGTATAAGGCAAAAAAGTAATACTAACATAATACCAAGTCCCATAATGACTATAAGAGCAAGCACGTAATATCCACGAGTATCGGGTGTCACATAACCCATTAACTCCCATATATATAGTTTAAAGTGATGTACCCAGGACAAAAAGCGTTTCGACCAGGTTTCATTTTTCTCCCCACGTGTTAATAAGTTCCATTCGTGATTTAGTAAAGTATAAATCAAACGAAGATCAGATATGGAGTACATGCTTTGATTACGTTCTATAAAAGTAAATTATTGTATCTTTTTTCTCCATTACAGAACCTTCATTCTGCATCATTGCTAAAAATGGAGAAGCATTGCAGACAGTGACAAATTTTCTTTTTTTTAGAGGATAAGCTTCCAAATGTTCTCTCTGTCAATCTCTCATAACACGTACAACAACTTCCAGACTTACTAGACTTGGGGGATGCGCTAAAATGCATTAGAATGACAGAATTACGAATATCTGGTGTCCCTTTGACGCTACTTCGCTAGCGCTACCAACACTTTGGTAACGCTCGGATTCGCGCCATATGATATGGCGAATACTTGCAGACCCGTAGAAAATGCTGCCTAGTAAAAGCAAAAGCTCATTCGTACAAAGCTCGGTGGATGCTTTTACTTCAGTCTTTCGTTTCATCAGAAAATATCTTTTGCATCGGTCTGGCAAAACTATTTGATTTCTTTTTATTTCACAAAATTCTGATATGATGCAGTATATAATAAATAAATTTAACATTGACAAGTGATATTTAAGGTTATCCATATAAGTTTGAAAAAAAACTTCGGTATTCAATAAGTCTTTATAATATTATATCACTGAAGTATTTTCAGTTGCTATTGTTAGTGTTTATGATATTATTGAAGCATGGTCAGTGCTCTAGTAGTTTCATTTTTTATCGAAGATCTACAACTGACACCCATATCCGACAATACGAATTCACGTGTTTCCCAAAATGAAAAACAGCCTTAAGCTTACCTCGTTTCACGTGCTGTTATTCGGTTGCGGACTAACACTGCGGCGATGTCCGACCCAGGAACTTTATCGTGAACTTTCGTAAAGCGGCAAAAGTCACTGCGAGTTTTGACCGCAACGACGTATTTTCATTCGCGAAAGAAGTAGAAGAGCGTGAAAACGGTTGAACGACGTAGGAAACAAGAGCGGAAGCTCCTCAGACTTTGTCCAGTTACTAAACAAGAATACAACGTGCGATAAGTTTACGTAAGTTTATAGAGAGAAGGAGAATCAATTGTACTATAGCAGGGTATGATTCGGTAAAAAGTTTGATTAATTAAAATAGCACTGCGAGTGTAGGAATATTGTAATATATAAAATTCTTCTTCCCTGCAGGCAACAAGGATAATTCTGTGAAGACGTCTAGCCGCAGCTCAGACTAGCTGACTATACAGATTCACTTAACGTATTTAGGGATTGAAATATAAAACGGCTCTGAGCCGTGTTGCGCCCCTAGGAAGCTGCCAGGGGCGGTTGGCTATTAAAATGAGCCGTGGATGCATTAGTGGAAGGCTAATGAGAATCCTCTTACGGCTGAAAGTGAAAACGAACAGAGAGCATAATCGAGAGAGCTCGAGGGATGAACGATGGGTAGAAGGGAAATAAAGCGGGAGATACTAGCGGAGTGCAGAGAGAGAGAAATGCTGGATGGGGAGAGAATATACGGAGCAGTCGAAACGTTCGGGAGGAACCAAAAGGGGTTTCAAGAGTCTTGAGCTTTTGAGAAGGAGAGGCCACCTCGACGTTTATTAGACGGTATGGCGCCCTGAAAAGCAGTATCGCGATAGTCAGGAAAAATAATACCTACCCTCGAAAGAAAAAGCGAAAATATAAGGTCAAAGAGAATAAAGTAAAAGAAAGCACTTAGATGATAGCGTCAATCCAATGGAATGGCCCTTTTCCTCCTTGACGTTATGTATTATATACGTTATACCATTCAATCTTTAAAATCTCCAATATGACCCACCCACACGTGGCGCGCTCCAGTACCATTCCAGTACCTTTCCTGAATTATCCGTTTGTCCATTCCTACACGGATCGACCGTCGTTAAAAGCCATGTCAGCCACAGAAAGCCATCACCCATTACTGGGATGCCGCTTGTAAGAAGTGGAAATATTAATTTTCTCATATCGGAAAAGCCCCGGGCTCCGGTTTCCCAGAGGATGATTGTTGACCGTAGCGGGTCTTTTGCTTTCGAAAAAAGCCTAAGTGTACCAGCGAAATAATGTTTTTCACGATGCCGAGTTATGACGGGCGATCAGTCACCTTCTGTCGTAGGAGCCCAGTGCCTTGCAAGGGTGGCTGGTCGTCATGGAGAGTATGGTGCGGGCAGTAGGGGATGGCTATGGGGATGCTGTGGTCCAGAGTGGCGAGAGGAAGGAAGGAAGATAGTTTGGTCGCATCAGAATCGCCAGAACTTGGAGGTCCTGTGGTCCTGCGATACATCATCGTTAGCGAACTCGAGAAGGTTTCCTTGCTTAGGCGTCGTCGTCTTATCGGATGGACCCTCGATATAGGCGGTTCCGTTGCTTTTATCAACTGACGAGATTTAACGCGGGAACGAGAGGAGATACAGGGCGAGAGTGAGGGAGGAAGGGGGGAGAGAGAGAGAGAGAGAGAGAGATATGCGAGAAAATCTTTGAGTTTCGTGCCGTGGATCAGGACCGAAAGTCACCTTGAATTTCCGGGAAAAGCTTAATGAAGATTCGTCCTCTCCGCACCCTCTGGATCATGGAGCCACCGTTGCCAGAGACTTGTTTCCGTCATCAACCGTTCCTCGTTAACTCGTCGCCCCGACTCGTGCCTATTTTCAACCCTCTTAGTCAGGATCCAAGGACTCTACTCTGCTTGCTATTAGCTACCAGCTTCACTCGCTAGTATCCATATAGTAGTAGCCAGGATCCCTTTTAGCCAAAACGTTGCGTCTCGTTGCCGAACGTGATCCAGCGTATAATGCGGTAAGTTTGTTCCCGCGGGATAACCTTACTGCTTTCGTAACCGCTGTTTCTTCTTCACCCTTTCTATCGTTTTGTATTTTCAGAAGACACCTGCTCACCATACCCATCTCTTGTGCTCCTCATCGTATTTCCTACGCCTGATAGCTCCGAGAGCTGCAAGGATGGAACGACCTTAGTAACAACAGTCGACATAGGACGCAAATGGGAAAGACCGGAAGTCAGTAGCTTTGAGAGGGAAAGTTATTGAATTTCCAAGTGGAATTTCACTTTGAACACATTAGAAATATACAGGTAGAGGAATTAGTGAAGATTAACGTGGAGTAAGCAGTTAAACGTGGGTCCTGCACAAATGCAATTTCGAATACTTGTAACGTCACCTTGTTACTGAATTCTTAGGGTTATTATTTATGTCCAGTGCACGGTTCTCATTGTTTAAAGTGTCTCCTCAATAATGGCGAAATGGTGTTGCTGCAGTTGTAGCGACATGAAACAACGATGAGGGGTTTAATTTAAAAATTCAAAATCGCTTTTATCCGAGATATTTTAACGATGTCAAGTCCAACTTCATTTTACGTCGTAACTCGTTCGTTTCCTTGACACTTCCGGATGCGATGAAATTTCAAAGAGACTCGAGAAAAGCTGGAGAGAGTGAAAGTGGCAAGGACTTGAACGGGGGGAGCGCGGTAAAGTGAGATGATTTATAAACGTCGCTAATGGAGTTTCCGCGAGCTTATTGTCTTAAGGGCTTCCGGGGAAATCAAAGGGAAGCTTTAATGTAACTTGTGGTCTGTTGTGATCAAATGACAAGGAGTTGCAAAAACATAGCTGGTTCGATCGATCAGTGTGAGTGAGCCGAAGGGTCAAAAGGAACGGGAAAAATAGAGAGGAAGAAAATTTCCTTCCTTCCTTCCTTCCTTCCTTCCTCCCTTCCCTCCTCTCAGGTTCGCGAACGCTTTTTGCCGCCATTAACTATTTTTTTAGATAATGGCGGGCCCGCCTCGCTACGCCGTCAGCAGATTATAAAACCGAGAGCGACGGGCTTTTCTCAAAATTTTTATCCGTCGGGGGGCGGAGCGATTGCCCGCATGTTGCGTCGCTTACATATAGTTACGTATATGGTATACACGCTATATATATATATGTATTATATAACATATATATCTCCACGCAGTATAACCCAACGTGAAATCTCGCGTGTACCAAATTAAGATTTTTTCAGTTCCCTTTGTGTAATCTCCGAGAGATTGCTTTCAGGATTATGTGGCTTTTCGAAGGTGTCCTTTTATTTCGTTTAGTACTCTCATTAAATTTTGTATGGTGCTTTCAGATCACTCATTTAATGTTGTCAGAATCTGCAGTGATCATAGGAACGGCTTTCACATGTTAATGTCTTTGTGGGAGGATCGTTGCCAGACGTGGGTACGTTTCAAGCAGAGGTATGGTTGCCCACGACAGAAACGGTTATCCAATATCAAATTAGCGTACGTCGGGGCGAGTTCCTCTGCGCTCCGTTGCGCTATGCCAATAACTCCATTTCGCGCTGACATAACCTGTAATGTTATAATCCGTCGTGCTTGGTGAATCGGGCGTGCAAAGCTGCTCTTTGTGAGCTGCGGAAAATGAAAAATATCCGCTTCTTTCATTGATCATCGGCCAGCCTCAAATAACCCAAATCCAATTTTGCGAATTGATTTTCGACGGATGTGACGTAGTTTCCCGCAAGCGCATCCTTGCGAATCTTTCGAGACTCAAGGAGCCGTCGTCTCCTTGTAGCGAAAGCTCCTTGCTATCAGCTACAGTGATACGACGACGTCCGGCCAATTAATCCCTCTGGTGCTTTAAAAACTTTTCTTTTTTTTCCACTGGCCAAAGGGGTTAACGGCCCTGACGGTTAGAATCCTCCTTGAGGATTCTTTTGCCACGTCCTCATATTCTTTGTCTCGTTTTGCCGCTTAGCAAAAAATCTGGCACGTGTCTACTTACTAATTCCTAATGTCAATTGTGATCTTGGTACTTTAATAGACTAACTTGGTTTTTGTAAGCCAACAATCGCATGCCAGGAGACACTTTCATTGGGAGACGCCATGAGTTCGCATGAACGATCAAGCTGTGCTCAGTCAGGACGAACAAATCCCCAGGTGTCGTCTAATTGCAGCAAGCAACGGATTCCTTGTTATACGCAGACCGTCCGAGGGCTCCTCGTTGTACCAGGAATTGTTTACGTCGCTCCTACCACCTTTGTGTATTTGGTCGATGATTCTTCCTTACTCGCTACTGCCTCCTGGTGGAGTTCATTGTCCAGGATCACATTTGAGGGCTCATAATAGGCATTGGCGCGTACAAGAAATTTCACGTACGACTGCGAATGTTAATTAATCGAAGCACGTCCACGTTCTAAGCGCAAATCCTGGAAGCAGGAAGCCGCCGAATTATTTGGGGCCCGAAGGTGCTTCTGGGTTAACCTACAAAATATATCTTTTCAGTCTCCCGTAAGATAGACCGAGATCTACGCGCGATAAAGCCAGTCGGAGTTTCCTTGAAGAGGGTGAGAAACTGGAATCGCATCGGGGATTCATGGACGCGACGCTTTTCATTTAACCTGTTAACTTTCGGAACTGTAATTTGCTTTAAAATTAAGGTTAATGCGCCGGAGGAAGCTCGGCTAACGCTCGAGTGCCTCGGCAAACGGGAATGACGTGGAGAAAAGAAAAATAAATTAAAGAGAAGCTACAAGAGCGAAGAAAAAAATTGAGGTTAGAATCGGAAACTAACCGTACAGAAGAGGGATTGGATGCTTGCTCTTTCCAACGCGTGGTAAAGCGCGCCGAGCGAGAAGCGTTATCATCCTGACGTTATATCGATTTACTGCAGTTTTAGTGCAGTCGGCACGGGTACTTTTAGTTTAACGGTGCGGTCTGCATAAAGATACAAAATCCCACCTTGCCTGCACCTATAAGGGCTTTCATTCCCTAGGGAACATCTCGTTGTAGGAAAAATGTAACCCACAACGACATTGTGTAACGAGCTATTGCAGTCAGCCAATCTATGTAAACTACATTTGCGGAAAGCAAAACTTCACGGTAGCGCCACTGGATCCACGGCGACGTATTGTAACGCCTGATTTACGTACCAGATTAACATGAACAACCCTGCTGAAGGAGCCTATTGTGAAATATTCATTACCGGAGCCAAAGTCTGGACTGTGCCACGATTTTT